AATAATATATGGGCCTTCATAACTAGAATAGGGTTCCTCTTAAAGGCTCTATAAGGGTTATTATAACGGCTACTATAAGGGCATAATATAGGGGCCTTAATCATTAGAATGGGGTTTTGGTGCCCATTATACTATGACTATAACTATAATAAGGAACCACCAAAGTAATCTAGGTAGTTATTTGAGCCACTGTGGTAAGGGATCTGGTTTTGGGTTCGGGGGGCGCCTCTTTGTGCCCGTGGCGACAGGCTCATCCGCCGGCGGTTTGAAAAGATTCCTCGGTGCTTCGCCCCGGGTCATCCCAAACCCTTACTTGGAGGTTCATGGGTAGTTATAAGGGTTCCTTTAAGGGTCCCTTTGAAGGGATCTATAGGGATTCTATAAGGGTGCAGGGTTTAGGGCCTACTTGGAGGTTCATGGGTGGTCATAAGTGGGGCAAAAAGTCCCCTAATATGGCTTGTAAGTATAGTTGCCTTGCTTATAACCCTACTTATAACTACCCATGAACCTCCAAGTAGGGTTTAGCTTTAAATTGTCAGGTTTCGGGGTCCAGGGCGGCTTCCGACCCTCGCAACTCGCGCAAGGCAGGCAAAGCTTCACGAAGGGCAGTCCAGACTGCACAAGGGTAGTTGTCAAAAATAGAGTCCCTTTTTGGATACCCCAAATAATAGGTGCCGTATTATAATAGGGACCCAAAAAGGGACCATAATTTTGACAACCACCCACAAACTGCAAGCGAGACAGCTCCAAATCAGCCGGGCTTGGTTCAGCCCCTCGGCTCCTAGTACCTCAACCCCTATAGGCTATTAAAACCCTAGACCCTCAACCTGAATACACTCCTTCGGGCCACACACCCGCATGCTTTGAGCCTTAGCTTTCATATAGTACCCTAAATAGTAGGATCCTTATTAATGCGGTCCTCCAAAATAAGGTACCCCGAACTTTCGGAAACTCCCATATGGCGCTTTTCGGCTCTTCCCCCAGCGTGGAACTACACAGAGCCAGCCCGAAAATCAGTGCACCAAGGGTCGCAGGAGGTGTGGCCAACAGCGCCTTAGGAGCTGCATCACTGATAGAGGGGCCTTAATAATTAGACAAGGGTTCTGGTGTCCAGTACTAAGCAACCCCCACAAAAGTATTGGTAATCGTTTAGGCCTCCATATTAGAAAGCTGCTGGTGTTATGCAGCGTAGCGAAGGGAGAGCGAGCAAGTCTGCAGTTGCACTTGTGCCTTCAGACTGAATTTGAATTTATGGCTGGCAAATGACTTGAGCGGCTTCTGCTTCAAATTTTTGGGTGCTTTCCGATCTTCTGTTAATCTCAATCTAAGCCGTCGTATTTGACCTGGGCACGATGAAGCCTGGGTTTGAGTCTGTAAACGTCCGAAACTACGAGTGACCTACGAGCAGCTTTCACAGGAAGCTCAATGCATCTGGAACAGTTCTACTATGTAATATGGAACCCCCTAAACCCTAAACCCGGTACCCTAGTCCCGAGGGTTTTGAATCGAAAAGGAGCCGATCGAGCCATCTTGAAAGGGAGACAAAACTCCGGCTCCTCACCGAAATACCGACTTCCAGACTTGGATTGCAACCGAGGGCCGTCATGGTCAGGACCACGAAAGAAGTATTAGCACCAGTAACTGCTGCTGCTGGTAATGGTGCTGCTGCTCTTCCAGTAATTGCTGTGCCCCGTCTTCTGCTGCTGCGACGATGATGACGACGACCACAGTGGCGACGACGATGGCAGTACGATGACGACGACCATGTCTTGTACTGCTACGGTCTCGTATCTCACTGGCCCAAAACCCAGGGCAAACATGTTGAAACTTTCAGAAATTATAAGAACCCCAAAAGTTGAAAAGTTGAGTTTACAGCCAATAAGATAGTGAGCCATGAAACATCGGATACCACCCCGCGCGGAAGCGAAGGAGCCACCTGCTTCAGGCGTAGTTGGGGGCCTTTACGGCTTTTACCCTAAACCCATTTGATCCTAAACCCCTTTTGGGCCTTTTTGATCTTAAACCGTTTCAATTGTGGGATTTGAAGTGGGCTTCTTCTGGCTTACATGAGGGCTTTTCAGGGATATTACAGCGGGCACAACAATTACACTGGGATGTTGCCGGCATGTGTAGTAGGTAGTTGAGTTGGAGAGGATGAGACAGTAACACCCTAAGCCCTAAACCGTTCAGAGCTTTAGAATCTTTAGAGCAGGTTTTACGAGGAACCTCAGTGCAGATGCAGATTCCTTGCAAGTAGCCGCGAAAGCACTTGGGATCAGACAAGGCATTTTAGGGCTAGCGTCCCCGGTTTTCCTCAACGGCTGCACCATGCTTGCACTCAATCCATCCAGCCCAATGAACCCTTGCATCACTTAAACAAGAGCCGAGTCCAAACCCAAAACCGTAGTATAACGGCCTTATTTGAAGAGTGTATTGGGGTATGTTACGGTATAGTTATAATCAGGAACCCCCAAAAAATATTAGTAGCTACTCCGAACCCATATAAGGCCGTAAACCTCCGAATAAAGATACAAACAACAGGCTTTTCGGAGCTCCTTCGTGTCTGTTGTCTTTCGGGTCCTTACTGTAGCCCTCACGTGCCAATCTCTGAAGCAAGGAAGCACCATCACCCTTCCAGGCGGATTTGAAACCGTATTCCGTTTAAAGGACTCGACAACTTGCAAGAATATCCTCTTGCACTTCATATCATCGCAGAGCACCATCATATAGCCCGACACCCTGTTCACCTTTTCTCCGAAACCTGATGTTCCAAATATCCAAACGAAATTCTCAGGGTCAATGGGTTGGGGGACTCGTATCGACAAAACCGCAGATACAAAACCTTGACAGCCCTTAGAGAACCTTAGTTTGAGCCTGACTCTTAAGAGTTTGCTGTTGAAGGTCTGTGGGTCAATCCGCATCAGCATGAGAAAAGAAAGACCAAACCGTTGGGAGGTGCAAAAAAGCTCAAAGAGGTAGCAACTCCACATCGAAGAGCAAAAATGCAGTTGCCGAGCTCACTACTTAGTTCTTACTCCCCGGGGATAGAAATTTCAGACATCCTAGACTCCTAGAGTACTAGTAGTACCCTAGTTTTCCGACCCTGTGACATGCCAAACTCTGACGGTCTAGGCTTCGGGGGTTACGGCCGCACCCCAGCTTGTTGCTGCCGCTTTTCTTCCTTCAGCCTTGGATTGGCCAAGGTGCTGCAGGTTTCGTTCGATGGGCATCACGGTTTAAGCTTTAAGGGGTTGCAGGCTGCAGGTCTCTGCTACGGGACTCTTCCTGACTTTCTGCTCTAAACATCAAGGTGGTATCCTATTTTCGCCCTGCATGTGTCACTCACAACTCTCCGCGGGTTCTTCTACTAAGGGCTTGTGCTTACGTGGACCGGGGTCTTGCAAGGATGTACAAGCGTTTCATGCTTTAAGAGGAACTGCGAACATCACTTTGCGCTCGATCTGACGCAGGGATCTGATGATCTTGGAACAACCGCTTCTGTGCAGACTGGTAAGCTAGGCACCAGTCGTCATGATTTCATTTCTGGCAGCCGCTCTTGGAATTTTTGCGTGACTCAACATCACCACGAGCCCAAAATCCTCAACCTCGACTCCATGGATGACAGATATAACTACCCCGAACCTGGAGAATCATGCCGCTTCATGAAAAGAAATCCTGCTCTTCAACGCTCAAGAGGCCACGGCTATCAGGCTTGAACCTAGGCCCTAGACCTTGCAGTTTGTTTTGCAGAGCACTTATGATTATAGGGCCTATTAGTATAGGGGCCGTTATACTTAAAATAGGGTTTTAGGGCCAATTAGGCATCCCCAAAATAGTATGGGTAATTATTTAAATCTCCATATAAGGGCCTTTAGGATTAGGCTTCAGGCAGGTTGAAACCTGAACCCTGCATTCAGCCCGAAACCCTCGACCGAGCAACGACACTTCACCGGCATTTTCTTGGTAATGCTTAGAATTGAGAGGTTTCGGGTCAAGGGTCTGAGAAATTAGGGTTCAAGAGGGGGTATGCTAAGAAGCAGACGAGTAGTCCTCTTATGTGCATCTTGTCAGCCGCTGGATGCGCATCGCAGGCGTCTCGCGCGTGGTGATCGACGACATGGCTCCAGCTATCGCTGACGCGAAACTTCTAGCTTCTAACTCGTATACTGGATGTATAGGTCGGTTTTGCACGAGGCAGGTCTGGCGTTTTGACGATATGCCGCATCGTGCTAAAGGCCGGCTGAAGTCTGGCGCAATTGCCAAGGTGGTTAAGACTTAGCGATTGGGCACAGGCCATGTTGCAGTCTGCTGGGTGTATATGCCGCAAAGCTGTCAGTTGCTGAGAGGCCCAGGACTTCGACCGACCGTTCGATTTATGAAAGTGTCCTCATTGTGCAGCGAGTCTTCCAAACTGCAGCCGTGAAGGCTACATACGCAAATGAACCTCATAAGCTTCATTGGTGCTGTTGAAACAAATCCTCCAAGGGTTCGATATTCTCAACTGAGTGAGCCAGCTCGGAAAGAACGATTGATCAACTCGGCAATACATATATGGGAGCTTCCGAAAATAGGAGACCCTAAAAATACCTTAAATTGTAGGCTCCCTATTAACTATACTATAATAAGCATCAACAAAAAAAATAGGCATCTAAATAAATATAAGGACTCCAAAATAAGGTACCCCAATTTTCGGAAACTCCCACATGGGGATTCGGGTTCAGGGTATGGGGTTTCTGGAGAAGGGAGAATTCAGCTGAAGCACGTTCGAAGCTGCCAGGTCCCAGTTGCTACAAGGAATCGATGGAGGAGTCGCCCCAGTGTCTGAGAGGCGAACCCTAAGCCCTATTATGCCAAACCCTAAACCCGGGAATGGGGTCAGCCTTTCGCCGGCAACCCTCAACCACTAGCTCCCAAGCTACTTTTCAATTTGTACCGGAAAGACCAGAAACCCAGAACAGGGGCCTATACCAAAAAGGTCAAGGTCTCCCCTCGCCCCTCTCCTTTGTAGTGTCTTGGGCCAAGCCGCCACCTTTGCAGCCCAGGGACTTCGAAAAGCGGTTCAGGCGTGGGAATCTTGCGAATTCGCTATTATGAGGGCTCCTGCAATAGTCGGTTCATGCGTTCCATGATAGGATTTCTTGCATACATTGGGCATCGGGGGTGAAGGTTCATTGGTTGGGATGCAATTGGGGTGTCGAGGTTCACAGTTGGAGTGGGCTTAGGGTTTGGTTCCAGGCTTCAGGATGTAAACTAGTGTTGCGGAGTCAAGGGACAAGGGTTCAAGCGGGATCAGAGTTTAGAGTTGGGTGCGGCTTTAAGGCTTACGGTCCGGGGTTCTTGGGTCGGGTCTGCGGCGTTGGCTTGGGCATATCTCCGAGGACGTGTGGAATGTTGCTATAATAGCTATCTTCAGGGCCTTGGTTGATAAGAATCCGAATGGGGCTTGTTGTCATTATGCTCAGGAACCCCACGGGATGGTATGCCTGGCCTCCACTATAGTAGAGTACCAAGACGATGTGCACAAATGGGAGTCTCCGAAAAATAGGGGACCCTAATATAGTGCCCTAAATAATAGGATCCTTATTACAAGGACACCATCGGAAACTCTCACATATGTATACTACTTCGTCTGACCCAGGTCAGCAGTCAAACACAAGCCTAAGCCCTGAACCTGAAACCAGTGCTGTGCGGGGCTCAGAGTTACAGGGGCAATCTCGCACCCTCTCTTCAACTCATGTACTGGGGAAAGCCGTCGGGCGAAATGTAGCGCCCGACTTGAAGTAGATGTTGAGCGATTTTGCAGCAGGACACCGGTCTCTTGATGTATCGAACTTGAAGGCATGCAACTCTCCAGGGACATTTCATTCGAGTTAAACCGAAACAGGGTTACGGTTCAGGATTCGCCTTTTAGGCTGCTGAGCAAATCAAGCGCATTTGGAAGTCGAACTCGAAAGTTTCAAGCCCTTGCACAAACCCCAGCACCCGCAGCAAAATCGATTCCGGCGCCCCAATGTCTCCCCATCGGTGTTCCCGACCCCCCAAAGCCCCAATATAGGTCAAAAACTGAGTATTAGCAAAAATGCCAACCCCTAAACCCTAAACCCCTAAACCCTAATTCCTGCCGGCTTGATTGGTCACCTTGCTCTGCCGAAAGCTGCCGAAAGAAGCACCGGCCTGAGGTGGCGGGGTGGTGGTGGATCCTGAACAAAAGACTTGAGAGCAGAGGACCCGGCGACCATCCTGATGCACATGCTTGTCCGATCAACCTGTGGATCAGGAACACAAAGTCAGGAATGCTGATTTCCAATTCCTGCCGGCTTGATTGGTCACCTTGCTCTGCCGAAAGCTGCCGAAAGAAGCACCTGTTTTCTTCGCGGGCCGCACCAATCGAGATGTGCAGAAAAGCCGAAGGCATCCGAGAGTGTACAAGTGGAGCCGAAGGCGAAACGTACCCGCAGCATGATGTCAACCAAGCTGCGGCCTGAACCACCCAACCCACCCACTGGGCCAGCTGCGAAGCACCTGAAGGAGCAACAAAAACAGCGTGAGGTAGTCCACGGGCCGGGTCGGGAGGGCAACCGTCACGGTCTGAGGCGGGCCGAGCTCCGCGGAGGGCTGCACGGACTGTGGCGATGACAGCGGCACGACTGCTGCCGCCGGCACCTGGGATTCCACCCAGGCGTTATACAACCATTCAATGATCTGGGACTCCAGGTCAGCTGCCAGCAAAGCCATTTGCGTGAGCAGCTCCTTCATGATGCGACCACTCAGACGCATCAGGAGGCTTGCCACTACCCTCACGAACATCGCTATTAGAAAGGCAAGGAGTCGTGGGAACATGACCACCAGTAGCAGCAGGCCCAGAGTCTTCATATTCAGGCGGCTCATAAGCATTCCGAGCAGCCGTCGATGCTGAGGCCTAGCCGAAGTTGCCTCGTTTCCATCCACACCTCCACGTAGTGGCCGAGCATGAACTGGACGCAAAGGTTCGGCTGGAGGTTCGGCAGCACCACCAGTTGAACCAAAACTGGGAAACACCGAGGCTAACCCTTGGCTAAGTCGGGCCAAAACGGCAGTCAGCCGCCGTCCTTCTGGCCCTGAGCGCCAACGAGCCGCCGACTGTGTACTGTCGTTGTTTGCTAGCACCTCCGCTGCAGTCAGGCCTTGAGCAATCTCCTCATTGCCCAGGGCAGTGGCCGCCTGTGTCATCGCCGTTCGCAGGCACTCCGCTGCCCGTGACGGCCCACTCACAACCGCAGCATGGGGAGCGGCACGCGAGCGCTCGAGCCGGATGATCGGCCGCCGACGAGGCTCGCTTCCAATGTTTTCCATTGGCCACGGAACAAGCCCACGTTGGTCACAACCACGGAGACTCCACCTGCAGCTCTTCAAGGGCGTCCGCAGGCTCCCGCAAGGCAAGCACCACCCGCTCGGTCATGACGAAAGCAGATCTAGCAATCGAGCCGGCGGCGGCGCATGCAGTCGTTGAGCATGCTGGTGCACCATGTGCTGAAGCTCGACAGCACGATCAGTGAAGTTCATAGCCGTGTACATGGAAAACGCATCGTGCAAGTAGTGACGTAAGGTGCTGGCCTTTGACCACCGGCCCATGTATTGGAGGGCCGCGAGGTTTTCCTTTTCGCGGAAAACATGTGTGGCCCCTCCTGCCCTCATAGATGCTGGCGTAAAACCTACACCGGCGAGGTCGAGAGCCTCGAAACCAGACTTGAAAACTGCCGCCCACTGGTGCCTCTCCCAAGGAAACAGCCGCTTTCCCCGCTGATGGCCATCACGCCACCATCGCATCCACTGGATCACCCCATCGTCTTTCACCAGCACGAACTGGGTTTTGTAAACCCGGCGAGTTTTTGGTCTACGAATCACTAGCACCATTCCCGGCGAATCCATGCCGGCTGCGCCGTCCATTGGTAACGTGACATCCTCGAACCGAAGGTTATACACTTCACCCGGTCGTAGCAAGGCACTAAAACTAAGCCACGAGCCCACCATGACACTCCACCACAAATACCGTGCACGGCCTCGGGCCTGGAATCCCTTGGCAAGGCACACTAGCAAAAACGATTGCAATGTGTACAATGTGATCGGCAATCTCGATTGACTAGGTGCCAGGTGCCTCCATGCCTTCAAAGCCGACCACGTGCCCGGCAACGTCGCTCCCGAAACTCTCCACAATCTCTGCAACCCTAGCACTCCAAGCGTGACATAGTACAACCGTTCCCCACTGCGATGCGCATGTTCCACAGCCTTCTCGAGCCATCGATCGATCACCCTGGGAGGCGAAGTGCGATAGAGTTTCCCACCACATCGCCCCACACGGTTGAACAGGTCGGCGGCCGCCTCCCGTAGTCGACGTTTATAGTCCTGGCTCAGCACCGCGTCCCGAAGTCGCGGCGCCATGAACCCATATCCCGAGGGCTTCAACGAGAGCTTCACAGAACTTTAGCGGATGCCCTCCCCCACCTCGAGCCGGTAGGTTTTGAGTGGGCACGGCATGTTGATGATTTTCCCGGCAGGTTCTGAGCACCCCATCATAATGCATCCAAGGCAACGTGAAGCACAGCTTTGAGGCCCTCTTTGTGGGTGCAGGCTCCCCCACAGGCCAAGGCAACCCCCCCCTTCTCGGCCCGAGAATGGGGGGGTTGGAAACACCATACGCACACCAATGAACGACTTGCACCGACACATCACCTCTCGCACACAATTTCTGGGTCTCTGGCAGAAGCCAGGCTCTCGACGAGGCCGGGTGCTCCAGAACGAAGAAGGCACCGACCTGGTCCGCAAAGTGAGCGAGGTAGAGCGCGCGGCTCCACAGTGCATTCCCCTTCCTGACCTCAGGCCGACGCTCATCTCCTTCCGGGCAGTCCGCAGGTCGATGTGGTCCTGTCACACAAAGGTTTCGAAGGGGAGAGAAGGACGACGCTGGAGGCTCCAACCAGATCCACTGCACGAGGCCTGCCGCCAACATGCCCTCAATGGCCGGGTCAAAGACGCCCAATCCTGTCGAGGGCTCGATAGCCGGGTGCATGGGGAAGCCCGCAGCCTCGTGCGCCTGGGTCAAGCGCGCCTTGCCACCGAAGATCTCGAGCCCCCAAGGAGCATCACCTGGCAGTCCAAACGAGTGCATCCACGCCGGGGGCACCCTAGGCGGAGGCAGTGAAGAAAAGCGTGATGGGTGGTCTGCCGGGTTGGACTGAGTCTCAGTCCAGAGCAAAGCGACGGTCACGTCGCCAAACAGCAGATAGGGAACCAACGTTCTTAGCAAGCCATTCACTTTGAAAGAAGATGAACGCCCTTTTGCCACGGCCCCCACGGTGACGTTGGAATCATTGACAAAGAGCTGGACCCTGCCCCGCTGAGAAAACGTGCTGGCTATCCGACACACTTCCCGCTTGAAAGCTCTCAACTCCTGAAGATTGATGTGAGAGGTCTGGCGAAACGTGTAGCTGGCGATCACTCGCCACCTCAAACACTCACATAGCGAACTGGCGAACTTGCTGGGCTCCTTAGGCATTGAGGCACTCGCGGCAAAGTCTTCAGCGCGATCCAATCGCACCGGGGACCCGCGTACCTCTGATCGCCGCCAAAGCTCCTGGGCCAAATCAGGTGAAATCTTAGCCGAGGTGGCTCCACCACTAGTGGGTGTAGCATCGGTTGCAATGAGTTCCGAGCTGATCTCCTTCCGCATGTGCCAGACTGCAAACGGGAGGTGCAGAGCAATTGACCTAAGTTCGTCAACGATGTGGTTCGGCAGCCGGACCCAGCGCTCACTCTTCATGCCCTCTATGTACCTATAGACGTGGTGCTGCAAACTGTAGAACTCGCGCCTGTACTGGAAAATGAAGCACACGAACCCGAGGACCCTCTGCAAAATTTCCTTCGTGCAAAAACCGAGGTTGACAATCTTCCGGAGAATCTGCCACACTTGCCTACGCACTTCTAGTGGAGCTCCTGCGCGCCCTTGCACCCCATCAATCTCTGCGCCCCAGGCCTTGAACTGCGTAGCACAACGAAAAGCTTTATGCTCAGCACGGCTCAGGTTGGCCTTGTGATAGGCTCGCTCCGCGGCCGCAGTCAAGACAACATCCGGGTCCTCAGGCAAAGGCTCGGGTGGCACGAAGATGCCGTCCAAGGGGGTCGCATGTTCCAACAACACCTTGTAAGCAATCAACAAGTCGTCTAAATAAGCGCCTTGCCAAATCCGCCCACGAGGAACTGGCTCGCCATAAACCAAGGTACTGTCAGGTGAGAGCAGACCCTCACTACGAAGCACAGCCTCGTGCGTCGCTTGAGCTATGGCACACCCGTTAACATCGCCCATCCCCAGAACCCGTAAACAGGCCCTGTGCGGCACCGAAGGATCGCAGCCCGCCTCGGCCAGCAAGCCCTTGTCCACTCGCCGTCCGAAGCCATTGAACCTAATCCACTCAGGCGGCAGGGCAAGGGTATAATAGTAGTTGCGCAAGTCGTCGCCTGATCCACGCAAGATCTCGTTGTCGGCAAGCAACAGCCGGCAAAAGCAAGCTCCTGCCGGCAACTTGGCCCAATCGAGACGGTCCATCGTCGCATTCTCCGGCCTCCGATCAAAAATCAAGCGGTCCTCCTTGTCATTCTTGCGCACGGCGAAGAGGCCACCCAAAAGTAGTCGGCCGTCCTCGCGCCGGGGAAGTTCGCTCTCTGGCACAAGTTCCACCATTTTGGCGGCCAACAAGCGCCGCAGCAGAGGTGTTTCCTCTTGCACCGGTACCCTGTGACAGGACTGCACTTCCTCACCCCACAAGGCCTCAGGTCGTCGGAGTCGGTGAAGATTCGCAACCACCTGCGCCCGGGCTCCATCCAAGATTTGTCTGGGATCCACCTGCCCAGCCTCCTCAGGGACCGCAACACGGTCTGCCACCACCGGCAGGGCCGTCGACAGCCTCTGATTCTCCACTCTAACGACACCACTGTAGCATGCACCTGTACCGGAGGCCACAAGGTCCTCCAAATCCTTCCGCTTGCCCTCACAACTTAGTGCTCCAGACAAGACCTCAGGACTGCTAAAATTAGCCACCTCGCCAAGCAGCTTATCGGCATACGGTCGGATGCCCTCCACACTTCTGTGGGCCACTCGCGGCTCAAAAGCACTTCCCTCCCCATCAGGGCACCCTAGCACCACAAAATTAGACCAGGCCACCAACGTATTAACGAAGACCCGGCCCCACTGCAGAGCATCCGGCGACCCAGCTCGGCCACGCAAGCCGATCACCTCAGGATAAGGAAGAGCACTGGGAAAAAGTGGCGCGTCGGCACTGGACCGCTCCAGTAGGTAACCATGGGCACGTTCCAGCCACGCGAGATACTTCATAAATCGGGTTGAATTCCGGCCAGGCAAGGCAGGGTCAACAAAGGCCATGCCGCCCGACCCATGCACGTTCAGGTCGAGACTCACTTTCGGTGGCCCTTGCCACCCTCCTCCACGTCCTCGTCGCCGTGGTCCCGGGCCCCCGCTTCGCGGACCTTTTTCTTTAGCTTGCTGAGCGCCTCCATGTAGCCGCTGACGATGGCCATCTCCTCGCGGGTACCGGCGAACTCCCGGCGGCTCAATGGGTCTGCCAACCCCGTCAGGAGCCAGGCCGCCTCCCAATCTCCGCCAGACATCACTGCCTGGAGCTTCGCCTTGATGTTCTGGGCCAGTTGTGCGGTGGCACTCTCTGTCTCCCCGGCCCTCAACATCTCGTAGACCGCTGCGTCCATCACCGCGCACCGGTAGATGCCCTTGAACTTGCCCCAGCTCTGCTTCTTCAAGTAGTCCTTGATCGTCCACGCCTGACCGGCAATGATTCCCATATCCTCCACGATCTCCCGCTCGAACTCGTTGTAGATCTTGCTCGGCCGCTCCTTGATCCGGGCATGGAGTTTGTTTAGAGAAACCACCGCCTTCATTCCAGACTTCTTGAAGTCGGGACCGTCGCTTTCGCTCTCTGAGGACGAACCACCAAGGAGTGAAACGCCCCGATGCTTGTTCTTCTCGCCCTTCTCGCCCTTCATCAGCATCGCCAGCATTGCAAGCGGAAGCATCTCCGAGGCACTCTGACCTTTCGAAATCCCTTCCGCCAGGAGGCTTCGCAGATCCAGGCCCTTCTTGTCCTTCTTCTTTGCCTCCTCGGCGCGGCGGCCCTTGGCCGCGGCCCCCGGCGCAAGCACTCGCTGACTGCTGCTGGCGGCTGCGGTCAGGTCTGGTTCGTCCTCTTGCTCGTCCTCCTCGCTGTCGCTGCCATCCTCGAAAAGGTGGGACAAATCCTGCATCTCTCGCTGAAGGCCCTTCTTCGCAGGCTTTTTCGTCGCCTTCAGCCGAGGCGCTTCGGCCTCGCTGCTGCCTAGGTCCTTTCCATCCACTTGTCGCCATACAGCCCTGGCGACTGTCCATGTCGGCAGTGAACTTGGCGGGTTGCCCTTCCACACGGCCGGCTGGGATGCGGCAACACTGGACTGCGGAACCCGCACGAAGATCAGTTTCTCGGCGCCGCTTTTGCCTTCAACCGACCCTGGGATCTTTGCAGAAGACTCTGAAACAGCTGTGCCGACCACTACTTCGTCATCTATGAATTCCACTGTCCAGCCACAAATCGGGATGGTCTCGTCTCGAGCCCCTTTAAGGTTCAGAAAGACCAGCTCTCCTCCAGCCATGGCTGGAATCTCTATCCTGGACAAAAGACTTGAGAGCAGAGGACCCGGCGACCATCCTGATGCACATGCTTGTCCGATCAACCTGTGGATCAGGAACACAAAGTCAGGAATGCTGATTTCCAAGCCCTAAACACTAAACCTCTAAACCCTAAACCCTAAGCCCTGAACCCTAAACCCCTAAACTCAAAAAAGAAAAAAGGCTTCAAAACCGAGATGAAGGCCGAAACCGGCGACGAAGTTGCGAAGGCGATTCTCCAAATCTCAGATGTCAGGGTTTAGGGGTTTAGGGTTAGGGTCTTGGGGTTCAGGGTTTAGGGTTTAGGGGTTTAAGGTTTAGGGGTTTAGGGTTTTAGGGTTTAGGGTTTTCGGGTGAGCTTGGACTTCGGGGGTCCAGGGTGCTTTTTTAGCTGAGGCTCGCTGGGGCTCTGGGGTTTTAGGGTTTGGGTGTACTTGGAAATTCACTGGTAGGTATAAGTAGGGTTATAGGTAGGTTACTTATAACATATATTGCGGGACCTTATAACCCCACGTATAACTACCCATGAACCCTTCAAGTAGGGCTTCGGAGCCCTACAAGGGTTAGGTGTGGAAAGACTTGGGGCTCTGGCTCGTTTGAAGCTCCGGGCATCGCAAGCCGCGGCAAACGGTTCAGTGCTCTGCCTAGACCCCGCAAGTACCCTTTATTGTAGTCCCTGATTGACTCGTTATGAGAAAGATTAGAGCCCTTGAAAGGGCACTTCGGGGGTGCTGGTAATTAGGATTCGGACTCCCATGCTTAGGGGTTGAAGGTCAAGGCTAGTAAGGGTTCACGGCGTTTTTTTGTCCCTTTAGATTCAAGGCAGGAGGGTTCAGTGCCTTCAGGCCGTGTAAAAATGAGAATAGGGTTTTGATGGATACGGTACAAAAGTTGAAATAAGGAGCCTAGAGGAACGGGTGTCGGACTGACACGGACGGCTGGTTATTCTAAGGGCCTCATACTTGCCAATGCTTTCTTGGGGGGTTCCACTTTCTATAATTGGGTGGTTGTCAAAATTATAGTCCTTCTTGGGTACCCTAAATTTTAGGTGGCGTGTTATAATAAGGACCCAAAAAGGGACCGTAATATTGACAACCACCCAATTATAGTATGATATACCCCCAAACCGAATTCGAATCACTACGGCCCCTACTTGGAGGTTCATGGGTAGTTACAAGTAGGGTTATAAGTAGGGTAACTATACTTATACCACTAACTACCCATGAACCTCAAAGTAAAGTAGTTCGAGGCCCCCAGGTCTTCAGGACATGTGTTGCAGAGTTCGGGGTTTGGGTATAGGGTTTCGGGGTTTAGGGTTTATCTTGGGCGTTTTAATGTTTTCGGGCTTAGGGTTTAGAGTTTTCGGTATGTGGGACAGGTTGTAGGTATAAGTAGAGCTTGGGGTCTAGAGATTTCGAGCTAGACTACAATCAGCGAGCCCTTACGACATCCGGGCAAGACCCAACTTCTTCTCGTGGCCTCCGAAACCTCAGCCCCCATCCCTTCATCCCGCAAGAATCTAAGCAACCCTAAGCCCGAACCCTAATAGGGTTTTAGGCTTTAGGGTTTAGGATTTAAGGCCCCGATCCAAACCTAAACCCTGAACCGTAAGCTCACGAAAGCGATGCCCGTGTCCCAAACCCTCCCGAACTCAAAGCTTGCAGCAAAGGACGCGAACCCAGGACCGGGCTCCAGGCCCGGCAACCGTGAAAACCCTACACCCTGAGGGTTTAGGTTTCTGGCCTTTTTGAGGCTTTATTTAGGGCTTAGGGCTTCCTAGATCTTTTTAGGGAGAGACTGCTAGCTTGCCCTAAGAAAGCCCCAAACCTGAAACCTCCATCCTAAACCATACCTATAGTCTCCGTTGCAGGTCCTTTTGGGGGGTATCATACAGGATCCTAAGTATATATTTGGATAAATCAAAAAAGGAACTACAATGGAGACTATAGGTAAACCCTAAACCATGGAGACGAGCAGCCGGAACTCCAAATCACTGCTGGGACTTTGATCTTGCAGTTCAGCTGTCCGGCCTGGCAGGGATTAGGGTTTAGGGTTTCGGGTTTAGGGTTTGAGGTTAGGGTTGGGGGTTTAGGCTTATCAGTATCGCAGGTATCCTGGGGAACTAAAGGTTAGCCCTTGGAAAGTATATTGGGATTTCGTCGGTGTTATTTTAGCACCCCAATCAAAAAAGGTTACCTACTAACTACTGCTACAACTACAACAACAAGGTAGGCGTTGCGTCTGCCGCCACGCGGGGTGTGTCGTTTATCTCTGGGAGATTTTTTGTCAAAAGATAGAAAACCCAAGTTTTGCAAGACGATGTATCGGACTTTAGTTTTGTTTATAATTATTTGTCTTGTTTTGTTGGTGGGGTTTTGCGGAAATGTCGGAAGTAACATGCTTTTTGTCTTTGATTTATATATGTTGTTTTTAAGGCTCATTTGGGAAGTTTGTGTCTGGAAAGCTTGAAAAACTCGAGGTTTTTGCATGGTGGACGTTTCCCAAGTGAAGCAAGAAGAAACGGCAAGCACGAGTTGACAGAGCAACTGGTAGCGTATGAGCAGTATCCCAACCAAGGAAACAGAAGACACAAGCTGCATTCGCATGGACCTCATCACCCCCCCCCATCCCCCCCACCCCCGCACAGAGCTGAAAGACAAATTGCAAGTTTAAGCTGGCAGGTACACAAAGTCGAGAATCGACAAAAACATCGTAAACACCAATGCGAAATGCGACACATAGGAAACAACAAGAGAAACAGAAGACACAAGCCGCGTTCGCATGGACGTCATCACCCCCCCCTCCCCCGTCCCCCCGCAAGCCCCGCACAGAGCTGAAAGACAAATGCAAGTTGAAGCATGCATGTGCAGAAAGTCGAGTGTCGGCAACAACACTGCAAAAACCGATGCGAAATGCGACACAGCAAAACAGCTGAACATGTTTTTGCAAAGTGCAGCCCGGCGGCTGGGTCACTTGTTTGCTAGAAAACACCGCAAAAAAAAAAAAAAAAAAAAAAAAAAAAACGATGCGAAGCCAAAAGCAAAGTTCAATGTCGGGCGAAGAAAGTGCCAAAACTCGAGTTTCAGCACATGCCAGCAAAGGAATTGCACCACCCCGAGCAGCGGCAACACCTACCAACAACAACAACTCCTCCTACTACTACTACTACTACTACTACGACTACTGGGAAAAAGCCGGGCTCTATCCCGTAAGGCATGGAGCTTCATGCGGCTTGATTATGGAGTTTGAGGTTTCTAGCGCTTTGCGGTGCAGGGTGCAGGATGTGGGAGTTTTTGAGGGCTTAGGGAACTTAGGGCAGCCAGGAAAACGATTTGCGGGCTCCATAATTAACTCAATGCAGGTGGCACCTTGGTCAGAGAGCCGTATGTTGAGGATGCTACGGCTTAAAAGGCCTGCATTCGGGTCTGTGAGTTTCTTAACCTCGGTTAGAGCGCTATCAAGTCTGATTTACGCTCTCGCAACAGCTACGTCAAAAATGCCCATACGACATCGACATGCGCAACCATACAAACACTGCTGTTATTCTTGACGCGTGCCCAGCAATATCCGGTTCTATGTGCCGGGGACCATGATAACTCGCACCCCGATCACATCCAAGGAATCCACATGGGCACGCATCAATGATAACGTCCAGCCTGGCCACATGACAAAAAACGCTCAATGCTGAACCGTACACACCGCCTCGGGTCCATCCGAATCATCGCAAAAAGTCGAAATTAGAGGCTGCCTGCTAGCCTCGTCGAAGCTTTGTGAGACGGAACACCGTGGCAAAACTCGTAGAAAAACCCTTGTGGAAACCCATCAGGCCTGCTGCAACAGCGCATGCTTGTCCGCATGGACGATGCTGTGCTGGACGAACTTTGCCAGCCTCTGTGCTGTGTCGCATCGGGGTCTGCGGGTTTAGGGCTGCGGTGGTTTAGGGTTTTAGAAGGCTGGGGTGTAGAAGTTGGGGTGCTTTAATACATGGATACATGCATATTTATGTATACATATATATATATATATGTACATTTGTGTTGTAACTATACATACATATACAAATATATGTATGTCTGTAGAACCATACACATGCCATATAGGAAAGCTTCGGATCTGGGGCCAACTCGGTCAAAACGAAAGGTTTTGACAATTAGAGATAGTGTTGGGGATTCGGGGTCTCTTAGTCACATTCTACACTTCCCGATCCCTCCACGAACTTAGTTCGTGGAGGGATCGGGAAGTGTAGAATGTCTTACTGCCCGAAACTTGAAGTTTTGAACTGACACGGACGAGCCAATGTGGAGCCTGATCGAAAGCAAGGAGGGCAAAACGAGCTCGAGCCTGTAAGAGGAAACCTAAGCAGCGGTGGGGTCTAAGATAAGCAAATCCCAGGCGCTACAAGCGAACTTGGGGGAATCTAAAACTTGGATGAAGATGTTACAAGACCAACGCAACCATCCAAAGAGAATTTCACCACAAACTGCAGGCGAGGCGGGAATTGGAATCGGCTCCTACCAGTATCAGGTTTCGGGGCCACCATAAACTTGCACATTGCTCTATGCTGACATGCGCATGAAGATGAACATTTTCTGTGTGGTGCTGGTAGTTGTAGCGCGCATATGAACTCAGGTGAATCATGAAGTGAGTACCTCTGCTGTTATTGCCCCTCATTGTTTGCGACCGTGCTTTGTGGTCACAGCTATTGAAAACCAAGAGATGGTGATGCTTAGTAGCCACACCAGTCAGCGATAAAGCCCATGCTGCACACAGTCAATGTCAAGCCACAGAAACCTGATGCTACGCTGAGCTGCTACGTGGCTTCTCCACTGTATTGTGCAACCATCAACCCTAAACCCCTAACGCCTAAATTGTAAACCGAAACCCTGAACCCTAAACCACTGCACTCCCAAACCCCGGGGCCCCAACGTTGACTGGATGCCATCAAAGACGACCGTCTCCATGGCACGCCTCCGTCGCTCGGCCTAGGCTTCGACGCTCACGCTCGTGCGCGGCAGGCAAGGCTCCACATGGGTGGTTGCCAAAATTAGGGTCCTTTTTTGGGCACCCTAAATAATAGGTGCCGTATGATAATAGGGACCCAAAAAGAGACCATAATTTTGACAACCACCCACATAGTCCATCGTATCTCCGCTGCATGACAATGTAGGCAGCGCAGCGGCGCGTCCACCAAAACACATAAGAACTCCACCCAGTAGAACATCACACCCGAAATTCGAGACATCAAACAAACCCAAACTCAACTCTGCGCAGCCACGCGATGTGATTGGGGCATTGCCGTATTTCGGAAAACAGAATATCGACTCAAGGTGTCTCCACCGTCACGCTCTACATCAGCCTAGTTACATGTGAGTTTCCGAAGATAAGGGGTACCTTATTTGGGGGTCCTTAGATTAAGGATCCTGCGATTTAGGGTGCTATATTAGAGTCCCCGATTTTTGGAAGCTCCCACAGAGTTCAGGATGTCTCGGCCTCTTGAACTCACAGCAAAGGGAAGTAGAGATCTCAAGCAGAAAGGACGAGTAAGTACAAGTAATTACGAAGACTGGGTTTTCGCGGTCATCCACAGCACTACCTGAAGTTTGAGGTGTTGCTCATCTGCTGCGAAAGGGCAAGTTCCTCACAGCCGCGTGAAACCGCTACCCACTCAGTCTGTCATGCACAGAACACAATCTGTCTAAGCAGCCCGTGCCAGGGAGAGAATACTACCAAAGCAGCACCCAACTCCCCCACTAGGCAAGAGACAGCGATGGACCAAATTCTGCAAAACACCAACATGCCAGTGACAACAGGTGCGTCATCGGGTGAATTCACATGTAGGGTTGTTTCACGAATTCGTCGTTGTGCCAGGGCTCATGCAGTAAACTCCTCGCTGTACTAAGTCTCTAAACAGCCCAACACCATGCACGTACCTACAACATGTGGGCCCAGACGGCCCAGATACCCCACGCAGTTCCAGCCAGATGCACCGGTCATGACCATGCAGAGGTCGACGGCAGTGTTTCGTCGTGAATGTAAGCGAACAAGCACAGTTTCATCTTGCTGAGTCACCTTTGTTTGTCTCACAGCAATTCGGCGCTTCATCACCAGCGCTGACTGCTTCGAAGGTGATCTGTGCCTGTTCCCATGCAGTTTGCTGTGGGCCATCAAGAACCACGTTTTGAGGCGGATTCGCTGACACGGCCCAGCATAATTAGATTTCCGCAAGGACCTCGCAGCACCCTGCAAGCTTCGGGTTTAGAGGCTTAGGGTTCAGGCGTCTTGAACTCTGGGCTTACGAGGGAATGCTATGCACAGGATCCCGCAAGGGCTGCGTAGAGTCTCATAGATATGTGTTTTGCTAGGGTTTTGAAAGGGCTCTGCAGGGTTTGATGAGGTATTATTGCCATAATAAATGGCATGGAACAACCATTTGCCCTACACCCCCAAACAACCCTAAACCCGTTTCTGCTGCTGGACTAGGTCGAGCCACACTACACCCTAACCCCTATTATTAACCCTAAATAAATCCAACCCTAGATTAAAATCCTTAAGCCCCCCCTTAAAGCCCCCCAAAATCCAACAATCCCCTGACCTAAAGCCCCCAAAGTGGGAAAAATCCCCTCAGCCCCCTTTAAAACCCGCCTGAAAACCTCCCAAACCCAGAGACTCCAATATCCCTTAATTAAGGAATCTACCTTAAATTATAGTAGGATCCCTTATATGACTTAAGGAATATTCCTTGAAAAAGGAGTATGGGAGTCTCTGGGAACCCGCCGAGGCCAGCGCGGCCTCCTTCTGCCTCAGCTCCGCTAGCTTCATGAGCTGCTGATCGTCCTGAGAAGCCCCCCCTCCCAACTCTGTTTATTTGTTAACTCATAGTGTTATCATTATGATGACTATTCATATTAAAACTATTATTTGTAGTGTTATTACTGTTGTTGTTACTGATAATAGTGATATTATCAATGTTACCCGTATGATTGATCCTTTTTAACTTAATTCTTGCGAGTTTTGGGGTTTAGGGTTATAGGGTTTAGGGTTTTGAGGTTATATAGGGAATAGGATTACTAGAGAAAACTTAACCTCTACCAACACACAGTCAACATGGTATAAAGACACACTGTTGTTAAGTTCAGGGTTTTCAAGGACTGAGTGTCGATTGCTTCAAATCTGGACGGGTTTGGGGCTGTGCCAGGACAGTTTCGACTCACACACTGGCCCACAGGCTGGCATGGCTTCAGGCAAGAAGTCCTCCGACATTAAGGTTTTGTTTTTTGGGTTTCGGGTTCAGGGAATCCGGGTTTGTTAAGGGCTTTAGGGTTTTAGGGCTCAGTTGCGCCCCCTGCATACTGCCAGTGAGAAAAACGGGAACAGTAAGTACTGACACATCGAGGCAATAATCAGTAATATTGTCAGGTAGTTGCATGCCTTCACTCCAGCCTTCGCCTAATCATGCCCTCCAGTAGAAGCCCAAAAAGCTGGAAACCCAATAGCCCCAACCCTAATGCATAATCCAAGGGTAAAAGGAGGGACCCTTAATAAGGACCCCTAGGTATATACCGTTAGTATAGCTATTATATACCCATTATAGGGTAGGGGTCTCCATCAAGGGTCCGCCTTTTCCACTTTGACATAAGGGGCCCCGGCACTATTTGGCCTCAATCCGGGTTCCAACCCTTTGGGTTTATATACTGTAAACCCGAAACAGACTTGGGTGGTTGTCAAAATTATGGCCCCTTGTGGGGTACCCAAATTATTAGGTGCCGTATTATATTAAGGACCCAAAAAGGGACAATAATTTTGACAACTACCCATTTGAGGCTTGGGCGCTGGCCAAGCCTGCAACCGAACCAGCATGGCTCAAAGCGGTTTAGGGTTTAGGAATGTCAAAGCCAAATTCTGCGAACCCTAAGTTAAACCAGCTACTACAGTAAATCCGTACCGGAGAAACTCGTTGCAAATTAGTCGGACGATACCAGATGACGGAAAAGGAATCTTGAAATCAAAATAAAACTCGTAGTCCGCATGTTCCTAGGGCTGTCGAGGCTGCTGCATCCACGTTGTCTTCCAGCTTGTGCCCTGTTCCACCTTGCAGCCGACTGTCGTCTGCTTCAGGACAACTTCTGGGGGAATCGGCACAATCTGCGCTGATGAAAACCATTGTCAGACCGATGGTGACCTAGTGCTTATGAACTGGATTACAGGGAGCTCCAGAAAGTTGGAATATGGATTAATGGTAGGATCCCCTATAATTTACCATAAAGGGGTTACGATAATGATATTCCAACTTTCTGGCTTCCACTTTAGGGCTTGGGCAGATTCGGGATGTGGGTTCGTTGACTCCGGAAGTGAGGTTTTTGAACCCTCCCAGCTCATGTTGGGGTTTAGGGGTTTTAGGGGTTTCGGGGTTTAGGGTTAGGGTTTAGGGGTTCAGGGGTGTTGACAGGGTCTTTCTCCACTTTCTCCATCAGAACCTTTACCCAGAGACTCCCATATCCCTTAGTTAAGGAATAGACATTGAATCATATTAGGATCCCTACTATAATTGAAGGGGTATACTCCTTAATTAAGGGCTATTGGAGTCTCTGGGTAGCATCTCTTTGATTTGAGTTTATCGCCATCGCCTTTAAACACGGGCGACTGCTCGGCGAAGGTCTGGAAGGCTTTGACGATGGTTTCTTTGTGATAGGTCTGCTTCGTGCCCTACGACTTACTACCCCAATAAGCCACAGAAATAACAGGTTAAACTTTCCGATTCCTACTGAACTATAAGAACCAAAAAAAATTACAGGCTAGGTATTGGGGATCTAAGTTGCATCCTTCAAGGTTTTGCGCCACTTCGCCACTGAGTAGAACATGATCCGCCTCCCCAAACGGCAGAGCTATGGGGATTCCATTGTCCGGAACTTAATGCTCGCGCCGAAACTTCATCCTGAGCCCATGAAGGCCCTAATGCAGGCGTAGAATTGGAATAAGGTGTTGGGCTCCTTATAGTCGTATAATGATAATAGGGATAGTAAGTAACCCTATGAATAATATTGGTGTTTTTCCTATATTATACCCTAAAGCCCCCAGACCCTCGACCCGGAGTCCTACAAAACGGCTCCGCTGTCCCGAGCGATGCGCCGCTAGGTCCGATGAGGTTTGGAGGCTTCAAACAGTTGAAGGCCTTGAGCTTGGAGGATTCAAAGTGCAGGATCTAGGCAGTAGGGTTCAGAGGTCTAGGGTTCGGATTCGGGGTGAACGATTCTTACACTTGATAACTCCTCGTCTCCTTACAAGCACGGCCGCAAAACCGTATCCCCAGCAACAACTCAGAAGCCCTGTATCCCTAAGCACCCAGCATCCTCGGTTGTAAATAACGTAACAAAAGTTACGACCCCATCTTCATAGACTTGTAACCCCACGACCCCATTTCTAAACTACCCGTGAACCTCCAATTCAACCCTGTGAATCCCAGCGCTCCGCACCCTAGAACACCCCAAGGCCCCAAACTGGGAGCCGGGCTGGAGACGAAGACGAAGGAGTTTTGGCTCCTCACCCGACTAGGGGCCGAACTAACTGCAATGGTTTAGGGCCCGGGGTTTAGGGTTTAGCGTTTGGGGTTTAGGGTTCCTTACTACAGCTAGAACTTCCATAATTTCGGCTTTACGAAAAAAATAATCAACATAGTGGCCTTGATTTTATTGGATGTTGAGGGATAGTGTCGTACGAGTTATAAGTGTACAATGACTATCGGAGGATGCTATCACTCATTGTGCAGAGCCACATTTTGTGGTTTCGCGCTTCACGATTGAGACAGAGTTTAGGGTGGGTTTAGGTTCGTGATGCGACGTCGTGGACTCCGCCACGACCAACGAAAACAACATCACCATCATCAACATCAGCATCATCGTTTTCATGCAAGCGCTGCAGAAGAGCTACCGCTTCCGCCCTTCAAAGTGCTGGCGCAGCTTAGCATGCAGTAACGTCGTGTAACCTCTGCCCCGGCATGTAAGCAAACACGTCGGACCCATCGAATTACCTTGGCGCACACAGTAGCAACGCCAAGCTAGGCTTCACCTCCCCAATAACACTTCAACGACCCAGCGCTGATACACTCGCAAAGGCTCCTCTTTTCCTCCGCTTGGGCTTTGCCTGGCCAGAAAGCTTCGGTGGATTTGAGCAAGGGCACTGGTTTTTCATTAAGCCGAACACAAATTAAACTCTCAAACATCTGCACCCTTTCGAGCCACTATCGGCTTATTCGACAGTGGAGATTTCTGAGTGACTGAATCAGTGCGGAAAGAAAAGTTAATAACTTTACTTGTTTGGCCGGGGCAATGAAGTCATGCAGGGGCAGTAGTCGCAAGTAGCAGTGGCAGTAGCAGTATCAGTAGTACCAGTACAGAATCAGTTCTAGTAGGTTGTAGTAGTCGTCATTGTTGTTGCCGCCGTCGCCGTAGTCGCCAGAGTCGTAGTCGTAGCAGTACATAGCAATAGCAGCAATAGTAGACTACAGCAGTCGGAGTAGGAGTAAGGAGGTGGAAGAGGCAAAGAAACATTAGGAGCAGGTATGCACATGGACTAGCTCCCGCCAACGGAAACATTAGTTGATAGCAGCCCTGACACGCCGGGGCACGCTCTTCGGCAGAAGCGGGCTTGCCTGGGTGTCGGTTAGGCTTTTCTGGCGCTGGAGTTTCAAGGCTTTGGGCGACAGATGTTCAGGAAAGATGGAGATGGTAACTCGCTGCCTAGGCGGCTTAGGGGCCTGAGATACCTCAAACCTAAACCCAGACCCAAAGCCCTAAGCGCTGAAGGGCCTCAAAACCCCCAAAACCATGGACACTAAAAACGGCAAATCCTGTGCCTTTTGCACTCAACTCAGAACTGGTACCAACTCTGGTCCCACTGCAATGTAGGGGCCGTTATAATAGATAGACATCGTAGTCTAAGTTTTTAATAGGGCCAAAAAGGAATAGTGGTACAAATTATGCCGACAAATACGCTTATATTGGCTACTATGCTATTTACGGTTCTGTGAGCAGTCTGTGAGGGAACCCTCCAAAATATGGTTAGTCATTATTCAGGTCAAGCCTTGCCCCCCCCAAACCCGCCTAAACCCTTTTTTGCTGCAGGCTTGCAAGTAAACCCTGAACCCCAATTCCTACAGTGGTCATTCAGGTCCCCTAAACCTTTAACCCGGTCCCCTACTTGGAGGGTTTACGGGTAGTTAGAAGTGGGGTTGTAAGTCCCCTAATATGGGCTATAAGTAAAGCTACCCTACTAATAACCCTACGTATAACTACCCATGAACCTCCAAGTACGTCCGTTGAGAACCAGACTCGTCTCCGACGCCTTCGTTGGAAGGTCTTTCTTGACTTTGGGCAACGTCGCCTTCGAGGTGCCGTGGGGTTCTGTAGGGTCTATGGCCTAGGGTTTAGGGGTTGCGGCGCCCGCATGTTTGGTCAAAGGAGGCTCATGGTGTGTTTTGGGATGGTCAGTGAGGAGTGTGGGATTTGGGGTTTTGATTTGTTTGCGCCCACGCGCCCAAACCCTAAAACGGTAACCCCAAGACCCCCCAAAGACCCCAAAGCCTGAAACTCTATGCTGCACACTGTACCCTCCGACTCATAAAAACCCACACCTTCGAACCCCTCAACTCAAACCCTATGAACTCGAACCCTCGGCTGTACATACAGTCGTGAAGCTGGAAAATCCCTAAGTCGTAATGAGAACAGATTTTGGGGGGGGGGCCCATTATACTATAACTGCTATAAGGAAACCCCAACATACGGTTGATGATATAAATCCTGCATGACCTTAAGGAGCCTAAACTATGGGAATTATGTTATATTCCTCATTATGGGTAATGCAGGATTTATATAATCAACCGTAATATGGGTAATTATTAAGGCCCCTATTTCATCCGTGAACAACGGAGCCGCCTTCGTCTTCTTTGTCTCCCCCTTGGCTTTGCCCACCGCCTGCCGACGAAAGTTGCTCACCCTGTTGGCATATAAGGACCTTATGATAATAATGATTAAAAATATGGTTCTGGGTTAGGTTATACTATAAGGAACCTCAAGATGGTCTAGGTAAACTATCAAGGGCCCCTATATTACTCTGACTAGGACTGTTTCGCCTGGTGTTGCTACGGTATTTGCTTTGGGCATCGTTACTACTACAACTAGTCTTGATTCATATGCGCGCGATGTGCACTTATGTTGTTTATGTGTATATATGTATGTTCATATTTGGGCTTGTCTTCGTGTTTCCATTCTTACCTGCTTACTGATCTATCTGTGTGCGCATTTACTTTAACGCCTTGAGCGTGCCCAAGTGCCACCGATTTGTCGTCTAGGCTTTTGTACCCAGATAATGGAGAGGTGGGGGGCTGAGGGGTGAAACATTGTTCGAAAGTCGTATGGTGTTAAAGGGAACTCCAGAAAGTTGGAATATGGAATAATGGCAGGATCCCATATAATTTACCTTAAAGGGATTATGATAATGATATTCCAACTTTCCGGCTTCTACTGTAAAGCTTGGGAATTGGGGCTTGGGAGTGTAGGGCCTCGGACTTCGCAGACCCTAAACCCCATAAGCCCTAAACCCCACCTGACGCCAGAGACAGCGATCAGGAAGCCCTGATACAGGGGCCTTAAGAATTACCTGTATTATTTTGGGTGGCTCCATATTATACTTATATAGTCATATAGTATAGTGGGCCCTACTCTAATTATTAAGGCCCCTATACTATGGTACCCTCATAGTAGCCTTTATAGTAGCCCTTATAGACCCTTATAGATCCCTTTATTGTAACCCTTATAGACCCCTTTAAAGGAGCCCTATTCTAATTATGAAGGCCCCTATATCATAGGACCCAACTATAGATGCCCTGTAGACCCATTTCAAAGGAACCCTTTAAAGGAACCCTAAACCCTAAACCTGAAACCCTCAACCCTAAGGATTCTAATCGTTAAGGCCCCCTACAACGACTTCTGCCGCCTTTTCCGGGGCCTTCGGCTGCGAGGAAGCCTCCGGCCTTGCTTTTTCTGGTGCTCCATCGGATTTAGGGAGTTATAGGGATTTACGCTCTCACAACTCTGGGGGTTTAGGGTTTTAGGGGTGTAGGGGTTTCGACTCACACACTCGCACAAGGCAGGCATGGCTTCAGATACTAAGTCCGCTGGGTTTAGGGGTTTACGGGTTTGTAGGGTTTAAGTAGGGTTCAGGGCGTAATTCGGGTTCGGGGCTTGAAAGTTGAATTAGGGTTCGGGGCTTTGAGGTTCGGGGCTTTAGGGTTTAATTAGGGTTCGGGGCTCTAGGGTTTAATTAGGAGTTCGGGGCTTTAGGGTTCACCTAAGGTTCGGGGCTCTAGGGTTCAAGCAGGGTTCGGGGCTGTTTTGGGGTTTAGGCTCGGGGGCCCCGGGGTTCAGGGTTATGCGTTCAGAAGGCTATTGTCGTCCGTGAAACAGGGTCGAAGCAAGATACAAGAATGCTTAAAGGGTATCACACGAACCAAATCGGTTGGGTTTCATGAGTTTTCCCGTGCATCTATACGACAAGGAAGTTTCTAGTGCTTGCAGGGTAATGAATCCGTCGGGGCGCGCATGGTAGTGACTTCATACGACCTTCTGTTTGGGTACTTGGACCCTGGCGTGCACTCGAAGAGATCGGAAAAAGGATGCTGAATGTTTTGCGCGACAACCCTCGACCCGACCCGCAACCAATCGCCAACGCCCCTAAGTCAGTCTGAAGAACCCTGTTGTCAAACGCCCTAAACGCGAAATCCTGAATCTGAATCCAAAACCCGAAACGCTAAACCCGAAACCCTAAACCCTAAACCCTAAGTCCTAACCTCATGAAGAACGCACGAAAGTCGGAGTCTCAGCTCGCGTCGCCGAGGGCTCCGCGGCGCCTGGCAACGAAGGGATCTTCTCCCCCGGCGTTTACGGGGTTCCTTTAAGGGTTCCTTGGTTTAGGGTTTAGGGTTGCTGTAAAGGCTCCTTTCAAGGGCTCCTACAGGTTCCTTCAGGGGGTTCCTGCAAGGGTTCCTTGAACCATTTTGGTATGTATTCGGGCTGACAATAAGTAACCCGGAGGAAGACTCCGAACCAATGAATTGTAAAACCAAACCGATTGACTCCAAAAAGCCTGAAGCCCTACCCTACACCGAAGAAATGAAAGCTTCAAATCCCAGATCGCTTCTAGAACTGCTAATGTTTTGCGGAACTAAACCCTACTCTACACCAAAGAAATGAAAGTTTTAAATCCCAGGTCGTTTCTAGACCTGCACATGTTTGCGGAACTAAACTCTAAACATTGTCCTAAGTCTTCACAAAGAAGTCTCATTTCAACAAGTGCGCCGGAGCGCCCTTGGCTTCTTCAACCAACTTGGCACACTGCCGTTTAGGCTTGAGGGCTTTGTGGTCTTCAGCGTGTGAGATTCCCATGACCAAAAAATTCAACCAGCTATAGGATACCTACTCGGTTGCTACGATGTCATGACTTGGGTTTAATTTCGAGGCTTGGGCATCTAGAGTGTCAGGGCTCAGGGTTTTAGGGTTTTAGTGTTTTGGGTCTAGGGCTGCTTTCTGCGTGATCGTCTCCTGCAAATCCCGAGCCCCTGAACATCGATGCACTGTCAGATTCGAAACCCCAAAAGCTGGTACTTTGCCCACAGCGCCCTTCCCAAACGCAAAACCACATACGGGAGTTTCTGCAGGGACCCCAGTGTAGTACCCTAAATAATAGGATCCTTATTATAAGGACCCCAAGATAAGGTACCCCTGATTTTCGGAAACTCCCATACTAAGCTGTAAGAAAAGACTGCATGGTAAGCAGGTTGCAAGCCCAAAGGCGAGGCATGGAGAACCTTTCTAGTCCTGAAGATGCCCATAAGAATCACTACTATGAACTCTGGCAAGCACAACCATGGTGCAAATAAACTTAAAGCCCCAAGCCCCTGAAACCCCAAACCCTCAGTCCTAAACCCACAGCAGTTCAAACACAACATACCTTCAGTCTCCATTGCTGTTTCTGTTTTGGTTTAACCGATTCAATACCATAGGATCCTAACCCTTAGAATAGTTAAACCGAAAGAAGGAACTACAATGGAGACTATAGGGAAAAGCCATGATAACCCCCAAGCCTCAAGACTAAGCCTGAAACCCCAAGCCCCACACACACCCCCCCCCCTCCAAAAAAAAAAAAACTCTGGGGCGCCTTCGTTAGGTGGCGCCTTGGGTGAGGAAGGGACGCTTCGTTTGAGCTGTTTGGAGACTTTGGGTTTGTTAGGGTTCAGGGGTTTACACTCGGACAATCCAGGCGATGCATGTGGTTCGGAGTCTGACGAGTGAGACGAGACTAAAGGAAGTAGTCAGGACGATGGGGTTTAGGGGCTTTGGACTTTGCATTTAAGGGATTTCGGCGCTCGCACTCGGACAGTCAGACATTTAACGGATCTCGACTCGCAGACTCGATCGAGGCATGTTAAAGGACAAAGACGAGCAGGGAATGGACATATCACGACCGGATCCTAATCGCCGAGGCTTCCCAAGGATCTAGAGTGTGAAGGGATGTAGGGATTCAGGCGGAGACACGTGATAAAGAGCTGCATTCTGGGCCCAGGATGAGTCTTTGCCTGGTGGCACTCATCTCGCTGTGCGGAACAGAAGCACAGTCTGCGCATTGCTTCCACAATGACGCTGGCCGTCTAAACCTTGTTCATTCTCCTGCCGATATACTTCTTATAGTTCTTATTGTCAAAGTTCCTAGTCTTGCCCTTATTTCTTACAAGATTTTATAGTTGTAAAAATTCCAATAGCTACATATTTTTGTTTACTGCCGATATGCGACCGCTCGGCTCTCAAAACCTAGGCCCTAAACCCTAAACCCCTAAACCGCTAAACCCTGAAATCTGGGCCCCGAAGTCCTCAACTCAAGCACCAAGTCTTGGAGCCTCGAGTCCTGCAAAGAGAACGCGCAACATCTGGGAGATTCCGAAAATTAGGGGTACCTTAGGGTTCCTTTAGGGGTGGGTATAGGGGATCTATAGGGTATAGGGTTTAGAGTTTCCGAAAATTAGGGGTATTTTACTTTGGGATCCTCATAATAAGGATCCTACTATTTAGGGTGTAATATTAGGGCCCCTCCCCCATTTTCGGAAACTCCCATCTGGATCTGGACCGCAAACTCCTCATGTGGGGGCCTTACTAATGGCTTTGGGGTATGTTATACTATATTTGCAATAAGGCACCTCCCAAAAAGCAGAGGTGAGTCTTCCGGCCTCTATAGCAATTATTCCGTCGTATTCTTGAACCCGTGATGATGCACTACAACTTCCTTCAAGAGTAGTAAGGCAGTGCAAGCTCTCGCGATGATGGACCTGCGGCCAGAGTCGCACAGCCAATGTAAAGGAAGTACGTGGGTTTAGGGTTGGTGATCCGCCGGGTGCCGTGAACCTGGTAAGCTGCCCGGAACTCTTTACCTAAACTGCCCTAAACCTCCGAAGCACAAACCCTGAACCCTAAACCCTAAACCCTAAACCGCCTCTGTTTCTGAGGCTCCAACTTCGCCGCGGCCACGGCCCCGACCAAGACCACGCTGCCCGGACTCGGAGGGGCCATAATTCCAGGGGCTTGCAGCCCACTGGTACTATATGACTAGTGATATAGTTGTGATTATGATTAGTTTTTCTAGGTACTCTTACTATTACTAGTAATTTAGTTGTGATTATTTTTAGTTTTTCTAGTTACTATTACTATTACTATTACTATTACTAGTAATATAGTTATTCTTACTCGCATCAGTTGCTTGAGACCTTTGAAGCCTTGAGGTTTCTCGGAGTTTGACTCGTTACAGGGCAGGAACGCATCCTTAGGGAGACATCGAAGCGTTGGTAGGCTTCGGCCTCCACCTGCACCCTACAGTAGAAGCCAGAAAGTTGGAATATCATTATCGTAACCCCTTTAAGGTAAATTATAGGGGATCCTACCATTAATCCATATTCCAACTTTCTGGAGTTCCCCTTACACCCTGCAAGAACTGCACACACATCCTTGTGAACAATCTAACCGGTACCACGACTGCTGTGAGTCCACATGCAAGGTGGACTTCATGTCTTGTTTGCCCAGAGTTCTAGTCGAACTAAAGGTTGACCTTCGTGAATAAAGAGGGATGAGTTGTCCCCTTCAACCGCCCCCGAAATCATGTGTAGCTAGGGCCCCATAGTACACGACAACCAATGAGAGACACTACAAGTTACCCCAAATCGGTATTTAGTGCACCACTGCTCCTATCTTGAGTTTGAGTCTCATGTCTGCGGGTCTCCCCTCTAGAAACCGCACCTGAATTGTAATAGCTGTAAGGGAACACAATAGCAATTATGCTGACCCGTATCCCGAAGCCCACACCCCTCTAAAACCATACAGTAACAGTAACTCCCGAAGCTCGACAACCTCCCAAAAGGTAATTACACCGTAACCCTCCCGCAAACCCGGATTTTTGTTGAAAGCAGACTCTGCCGATCAGCTGGGAAGCAGCAATGAAACCCTGAACTCGAAAGCCCGGAATCTGCAGAACTGCCTTGGATGGCGCATGCTTTGGGGAACCTCCAGCAGACATACGGGTTTGGGGTTGCAAATGAATGACAAGCCTCTGACTGAGAAACCCCTGCCTTTCAGAGCCCCCATAGGAGGATCCCGATGATAAGCGGGTTTATCGTTATCAATCCGTAGTCCTGTTAGTGGGAGGGGGAATTGCTAGATCGGGGTCTGCAATAGGGTTTAGGAGGGCATCTGTTCTAAACTTCCTTTCCGGGCTTCGTGCCTCGGAACTTCCGGGCTAAAGGTTGGGTCGTGCTTGGGATTTTGATTTCCATGGTATTCAATATCATCGGGAGAACAGTTCTTTGCAAATCACGACAGGAGTCAGTTTTGGAATCCATCCAGCTCGTGCTTCATGATTTTTTCTGTGAAATCACTGGTCCAGTTCGGACCGAATCGTCGTTTGCAGCTCGCTCCGGACGAAGCGCGTGGCAGATAGCATTCTAGTACCAGTACGTACGAGTGCTACTACTCCGGCTGCTGCTGCTGCTCTTTTCTCCTGCTGCCACTACTACTTTTGAATCCAGGCTCTGATGCGGTTCAGCCGGGAAGCCGGCCACACCCGTGCTCGGCACAAGACGCAGCGACTGAACTCTGGCATCTGTAGATTTCACTTGCCATGGCAGTAGCTTTGTAACTACTACTACTACTACTACTACTACTACTACTACTACTACTACTACTACTACTACTACTACTACTACTTCTGCTGCTACTACTACTACTACTGCTGCTACTGCTACTGCTACTACTGCTACGACTACTACTACTACTACTACTACTACTACTACTACTACTACTACCACTACTTCTATTAGATGGTCATAGCCACTAGTCGTCTGAGAAGGCTCCGATAGTCTAAAGTCTTAAAACATAGCTAAAGCCAGGGAGAAATGCATTGCCAAATGACAAGTCTCCCAAACCGGCTCTTAACCCAAAGCCCTACCTCCGAAACTCCGAAAAACCCTGCAAGCCCCCCACGCTCCCCTACAACAGCAACCCTAAATCCATCAAAAAAGATGCACTGATCATATAGCTTAGAATATACAGTATGTAATACATAGTTTATATTATATCATTATATATAATATATAATGTACTATACTATACAATACATTATGCAAAATGTGATCCGAGCAACCTTCTGGCTGCTTCGCAGGCGTCAGGGGTGCCGGCGAGCGATGGCCGGGACCAGGAGACCCTCGTCTATATGGGAGTTCTCAAAAATAGGGGACCCTAATAGAGGACCACCTTAAATAGTAGGATCGTCATTATAAGGATCGAAAAAATGATAAGGTACCCCTAATGGCCATAATTGCATTGTATAAGGGTCGAATCAAGGGTTCCGCTTAAAAGTTTGATAGATCTGTCAAGCCTGCGACAAAGGTTCCGTGGAGGATTCTACATGGGTAGTTGTCAAAATTAGAGTCCCTTTTGGGGCACCCTAAATAATGCCCTAACTTTGACAACCGCCCATATGGTTGAGGGTTTACAAGCCTGAGGTGTTGGGGCGTTTCAGCACTCACACTCGGACAAGCCTGGGTCTCGGGTGTGGGACTTGAGGGTTTATGGGCATATGGGTGGTTGTCAAAATTAAGGTCCCGTTTTGGGTCCCTATTATAATACGGCACCTACTATTTAGGGTAGCCAATTGAGAGACCTTAATTTTGACAACCGCCCATGTGAGGTTGGAACTTTAACGCCGGGGCTCAAGATTTTGGTGTCCAGGCTTTTGGGCTTTGGATGGCTTTGAGGTTGGTGACACTTTGGGGCTTCAAGCTTTCAGTTTGGGGCGTCGGAGGGGTGGTTTCTCAGAATAATGTAACAGAAATGATTAGACTAGGGCCTTGGGGCATAATATAGTGTAGTAGCGAAACGGGGAACCCTCAGAAAATTGCTGGAATAATTGGTGCCACGCCTTTTTGTTCTTGATTCAGGGTTTGTTGGCTTCTTCAACTCTTTCCGATAAACGACTCGAAAACCCTGCCGTGGTTAACTGGCAGTCCAAGTCCATGTACTTACCCGTCGAAAGGACCCGAAATAAGCAACCACAACGACCCTCAAACTTAAACTCTGAAGGGCTAAAGCTGGCACACCGAGCGAAAGCAAATGCTGCCATACGACAGCTGAAGTTCCTCAAAACATGAAAGCCTGCATGTAGATTATGATGGCGGTGGTGACGTAGTACAGATGCAAGGCAATACCGAATCATGATCTCAACAGCAACACGAGTCAAGGTACGAATACAGTCAACCATAGTCAACCCCTGAACCCCTCAATCTCTGAAGCGCAAAACCCGGAGCCTAAATCGTCAAGGCTCAGCCTGGATTCCTGAACGCCTTAAGTTTTGAAACCCCCCTAACCCTCAAATTCCCTAAATGCATCTGAAAACCTTCTCAACGCCCCAACTCCGTAATTAGTTATTAGCGACCCCTTCGCCCCTACCTCCGAATCCCCATAAACCGATAAACAAACAGGCATGCCCCCCCTGGCTCCGCCATTCGCTGAACCAGAAAACCACCGCTTTCGACAGCCCAAGCGACGGAGCCCGGAGGGCCCCGGTGAGCGAAGGCCCGGAGCGGGCGAAGAGAGCCTGGGATTTTGGGAGATCGCATTTATAGAGTTTTATGGCATTAGTAGGGCGTTGCGTAGAATGTTGAAGGATCCAGGGATCTAAGCCCTGAGCCCTGGAAAATTTCGAGGCTTGAGAACTCTGGGGACCCCAAAAAAATGAAGGCTGAAGGTCTCTTGGAGGAGCTGCTTTCCAGCCTTGCAACCCCGCGCCCTTAGAAAAAGATTGGGCCTTGGCTTCTGGATCCTTGGCAACCCAAGTCGTAGTCATAGCCGTAGATTCGAAACCGAGCTGGAGGGTTTTATGAGGGTTTTGTGGGGATTGCTGCACGGAAACTTTCGGATTTGATACAGCCTGCTCCCCAGCCTGTTCAATCCACAAGGTGATCGGACCGAGGCCGCACCAGATATTCCAAAAACCGTTCAGCAAGTGCGCTATAATGCAACGGCAAGTTCAAAAGAATGCCATGAAATGGAACTGCATGAAAATTATGCATCCAGACACGTGACACGCAAGCAATGTCAGTTTATCTTGGAAGATTCCGGAGATTGTGTCGATCCAATCTTCAGCACACAGAACAACATTGCCGTGGCACCTGTGTAACGATGGAGGCAGGATGTCGCTGGTGACTTCTTGTCACTCCCTATCGACGGATCAGGCGAGGCTACTGAGCACTAGCATCCCTGATTGAAGCCGGTATCCCTGCTTGTTCGCAAGGCAATACATAGATAGCTGTCCGTAAGATCTTATAAACAGCATCCCTCAGGACTTGGAGCATGACCTGAACGGCAAGTTCCTGTCTGCAACGGGAATCGACGCAGCACGGTTCCTCAAAACTATCGAAGCCCTTCCGGCGCACCTTACTGGACATTAAACTCTGCTACGCACAAGCTACTCGTTAAAACCCCGCTCGGATTTCGGGGCACAGCTCCAGTCCTGGGCGCGAAAACTACCCAACACCAGGAAGTCGGTGGCAAAAGTACTTGGTGAACCGAATTGGAAGAATCACAGTGTCGCTAAAGTCACAATAAAAGGCATGAGCTCCTCAATTCCGTAAAACCCTCGCCGCCTGCTTTGAAGCTACATTTCCGAAAGCAGGGGACCCTAAAAACGTACCCTGACTGGTAGGATCCTTAAAGTAAAACCCAAAATAAGGTATACCCAGTTTCGGAAGCTCCCATGTCGAAAAGAACCCTGTCGGGGCACAGGCATGCTTGGGTTTTGACGAATGCTTCCGATTTACGGGCACCCTGCTTCGATGGGCTTAGGGTTTAAGTTTAAGGTTTAGGGTCGAACATGGTAATCCTTGTTTAGGGCAGGGGGTTCTACATGGAACCGAAGAGCCCTTATAGCGACAAGACCCCTATGGCCGCCCTGATACTCCCACCACCCTAACCAGTACTGCATAAGCCCCAGCAGTTAACAGATTAGTAACCTTTACGGGATTTGTTGCCTCCTGCATGGCTGAGTACACGAAGCAGGGAGATAGGTACGGTACATGGTATAGTTAGTTCAACTTGTGTTTTACAAGTTTCAGCGCCAGCATTCAAGCCCCATCAACGAACTTGATTCAAGGACACAGAATGAGGGTGTAGGGTTTGGCGCCATAGGGGCAGTGGCCCTGTGGCAAGCCTCATTGTAACGCTTCTCGTACACCTTGCATATAGTACCCCATGAGCCCTTTTGCAGCAGGCCCCCTCAAAAAATCTCAAAATCCGAACAGCCCTAAACCCCAAAGCCTCAAAATCCCTAAAACCCTGAGAGGCCTACACAAAACCAGAAACCTTCACAGAAGCTTTAGGGCCATCCTTGCGAGCTACCACGCTTCACACGAGCTACGGCTGAGACGTCAAAGTGCTAAGCACGGGTTTAACTTGGGGGGGTGTTTAGCTTCTGAAGTGCTTTTCCCACAGGGTCCAAGTATCATTATGGTATGTGGGGTTATAAGTAACAAGCTTCTGAAGGGTTTTATAAGGGCCGAGCCTGCAAGGGTGTCAATTCTCTCGGGTCGCATGAGGGTGTTACAGGTTGTTAGAGGATGTAGTATAGGGGACTTAATAATTAGAAAAGGGCTTCGAGGGAGACCAAAGTACACAAATGTTGTGCGGGAGTTCCCTTTTGAAGCTTTTACGTACGTAGGTCCCTTCAAATCAAATTGTTTCTTCGTCTGTGTAGGAAAGATGTTGATCTACAGCAGCTTGATGGAGCTTGCAGGACTGCCATGAAGGAACATGCACAACCTCGTCCGCCAATACACAAGACATGTAAAAGAAAACGGTCCTGAAATGTCTGTTCGCGAAGAAAGCATGCAGGCACACAGCCACGACAACCACAAAACCCTTCATCCAAAAGCAAATCCTCACCCCCACAGAAAACAATCGTTATTTCAGAGTGTTTCTGCTGGGCGCACCCCCAAACTAGCCCTGGGGGCCCCCGCATCCATACAATAGAAAGTTCGACTGCAAAGGGAAATGGGTTCCTGTACAGTCACTGCAAGGCCGACATACATATCCTTTGGCTCCACGTAGATACATGGAACCGTCAAGCCGGAACCCTGAACTCTTCTCGTACTCTTCCGGAACCTTTGCCGTACGGAATGTGATACATCGGACCTCATTACTATTATTGTGTTTTTTATTTTCGCGTTGTTAAAAATTATTATTACCAGTATCATTAACGTTATCATGCTGATAGTAAAGTAGCAGCAGTAGTAGTAGAAGTAGTAGTAGTAGTAGTAGTAGTAGTAGCAGTAGCAGTAGTAGTAGTAGTAGTAGTAGTAGTACTAATAGTAGTAATAGTAGTAGTAGTAGTAGTAGTAGTAGTAGTAGTAGTAGTAGTAGTAGTAGTAGTAGTAGTAGTAGTAGTAGTAGTAGTAGTAGTAGTAGTAGTAGTAGTGGTAGTAGTGGTAGTGGTAGTGGTAGTGGTCGTGGTCGGGTCGTGGTCGTGGTCGTGGTCGTGGTGGTGGTGGTGGTGATGTGTGATGGGATGGTGATAGGTAGTGGTGGTAGTGGTAGTAGTAGTGGTAGTGGTAGTGGTAGTGGTAGTGGTAGTGGTAGTGGTAGTGGTAGTGGTAGTGGTAGTGGTAGTGGTAGTGGTAGTGGTAGTGGTAGTGGTAGTGGTAGTGGTAGTGGTAGTGGTAGTGGTAGTGGTAGTGGTAGTGGTAGTGGTAGTGGTAGTGGTAGTGGTAGTGGTAGTGGTAGTGGTAGTGGTAGTGGTAGTGGTAGTGGTAGTGGTAGTGGTAGGGTAGTATTAGTACTAGTAGTCGTATATTGCAGAAGTAGGACTAGTAGTAGTAGTAGTAGTAGTAGTAGTAGTAGTAGCAGTAGAAGTAGAAGTAGTAGTAGTAGTAGTAGTAGTAGTAGTAGTAGTAGTAGTAGTCGTAGCAGTAGTAGCAGTAGTAGTAGTAGTAGTAGAAGTAGTAGTAGTAGTCGTCGTCGTAGTAGTAGTAGTAGTAGTGTAGTAGTAGTCGTCGTCGTAGTAGTCATCGTCGTCGTAGTAGTAGTAGTAGCAGCAGTAGTAGTAGTAGTAGTGGTAGTAGTGGTAGTTGTTGTTGCAACATTGCTAGTATTATTTGTCTTATTATTCTTAGTATTAGTAGTACTACAACTATTATTGCCACTATTCTTGTTATTCCATCATTTGCATTTTTCGCTGTGGCTGTTGCTGTTATATACTATTAGTATTACTGCTATTGCAACTGCGCGGCAGTGCCATGTCAAAGGGCGAGATCGAGCCTCAAGCGGCTGACCGGGCACACGTCGCAATGTGGGGTTCGGGGTTCCGGGATAGGGTCTAGGGTGTTAGTTGCTTACGGTTTAGGGCTTCGGGTTCAGCGCTTGGGGATAGGGTCTAGGGTTTGCTTACGGTTTAGGGCGCTGAGGGTTCAGGGAGTGGTGCTACCGTTCTCCAAAATATCTCCGTCCTCGCTTTGCCGGATCGTTGGGATGCAGCGACTGGCTTCACAACATCCTGAAGCCAAAAGCCCCTAAAGCCCTAAATCTGGCAGGATTTCGGTAGGCCCTGGACCCTAGACCTCGAGCCCCAAACCATAAGCCATAACACCCCAAACTCTAAACCGGATTCGGGCTCCCGGCACGAGTCCGAATCCGAATCTTCCTCGTGGTCCGGTGCCTCTTCCTGGCATCCATCAGAATATTGTCTGGTTTAAAGCGTTTCTTGGGCTTGGCCTTTAGTTTTAGGATTCAAGGCTTGGGGTCTCTGTAAAAGGTTTTTTGGAAGGGTTCAGGGTTTACCCTTCAGGCGATTCAGGGTTAGAGGATAAGCTTCTTGGGGTTTAGGCATTTGTGGCTTGGACTCTCGCAACTTGGACTCTACATGCGAGGATTTCGCCCCCAGAGCTTACAACTCCGGCAGATTATACTATACTACAGTGCATTATCCTATACCACATATCGTGCTATCTTATAGTTATATATGGGATCTGTACTTCGGTATGAGTAAATTATGCACCCCGTCAGCACATGCGTTTATGGCTTGCAGAAGATTCAGGCTGTCGGCTTTGGTCGTCGTGATCCTGCTCACCATCATAATCATGCGGTCATGCATCACAACACATGACATTGCCGCACGGTACAGTAACATTACAATGGATACTTAACTTGCTCAACTACTTGCTTGCTTACACGCCTGCGTACGTCATGCATGCATGCATATACAAAAGGAAAAGAGCGTGTGTGTGCGCGTATGAACAGGTGACAAACGATCGATATGCAGGTGTGTGCATGTATATGTTTGAAGGTACAATTAAGAGCCTGGACAGGTATGTCGGTATGTCTCAATAGCACTCTGGAATGGCTACCAACAAGCATGCGCTGGAGCAGTCACAAAACAGTATTTCTGTCAGGCAGGAAGTATGCGATGTACCCTCAAACCGAGTTCCGAGCCCACACCCGACACCAGTCTGAAGCCGATAGTAAGTTTTGCGGGCATATTGTGTCGCCATAAGAGGAACTACAAGGAATACTACTGCTGATGATTCCGCAGCCAAGAGCAATAGCCGAACAGCCTGTGGCTTCTCCTTCTCCGGCGGGGGCCCTGCTTCATCCTGTGCCTGTGGCGAATTTTCTTGGACTCCAATGACTAATCTCACCACTGTATATGGGAAAACAGATCACAGAGGCTGTGATCATGATGATGCCGAGCATGCTGAGACCAACGCGGCTTCTGGAGCTTCAGCTTCAGGTGCTGCCGCAGCCGGGGGCCTGGATATCCCATATAAACTATAAACCCCATTATAATGAACCCCATTAAGGTAGGGACATGCTTATGCCTTTTTTGGGTCCCTGCAATGGAAGCTTTATGGTCTACAGCGGTTGCCGGCTGCGTCGAGGAAAGATATTCTGATCCTACCCATGCCCACCGACCCACCAACGACTGCCACAAAAACAGAGTCAACATACTATGCCACTCCATATACAAGACAGCACTGCCAAATAGTATAACGTAGCGTAACACATGATAAGTTACCCCAATATACTACATGCAACGACCCCTGAAACCTGCACTCGTCCCTGCGCTGTGTTAAAGGAAACCTTGTAGAAGTCGCATTATGCGCTTTATGCCCTGGGGTTCCTTGTTCTGAATGCACACAGCTGGGCAATAGGCATGCAAGCGATGTCTTTTTCTCGGAAGATGTAGGGACCCTACCCTAAACCCTAGACCCTAAACCCTAAACCCTCCAAAAAACTAGGTTGTGTATGGTTTTGGTAGCCCAAGGACATGGTCCTAAAGCCCGGCACGACCGAGGCCCAAGCTCCGCTGGCTCCTGGTTCTCCTCGGCTGCCTCTTAGTCTAGGGGCCTTATGGGTTTAGGGTTTCAGCACTCACACTTATGGGTTTAGGGTTTAGGGTTTAGGGTTTAGGGTAGGGTTCATTTAAAGGAAACCATAAGGGATCTATAAGGGTACTATCATGCAGGGGCCTTATAATAATGACCTCTACTATTTTTCAGGGTTCCTCACTGTAAGGGTTCCTGTGTTCCTCTAAAGGGGCCTATGAGGGCTGCTGGCTCCTTTAAAGGGTTCCTTTTTAAAGGGGTCTACAGGGTATCTATAGTTGGGTCCTATGACACAGGGGCCTTAATAATTGGAATGGTGTTCCTTAAAAGGGTTCTATAAGGGTTACTTGTACTATAAAGTGTACTGTAGTATAGGGGCCTTAATAGTTAGACTAGGGCTCCTTTAAAGGGGTCTATAAGGGTTACTTGTACTATAGAGTGTACTGTAGTATAGGGGCCTTAACATTTAGAATAGGGCCTTGGGGTATATTATACTATAACGACAGTAAGGAACCCCCAAAATCATTCTAATTGTTGAGGCCCCTACATTGGTTGGTTGCTTTTGGTTTGGGGTTTGGGGCTTCCGCGTTTAGGGCTTAGGGTTTCGGTGCATTCGTTGAGATATCGCAGTCAGCGGTTTACTGCGCCTAGAGAGCCTTAACCAAAAGCTACTCACCCTACACTAGCTCCACGATAGCTCCTCTGTAAACCCTAACCCCTGAAAAGTGAAGACAAAATCCCAAACTGCTGAAGCCCATAAACCCTTGAACCCCAAGCCTGTCTGAACAACTATCAAACCTGCGCATATTCATGCCCCAGACCGCTTTCACTAACCCCTGCGGGAACCCCTATGAGACCTTATGGTACCACTTCTGGTAATCCTCGCAAAAACCATGTAGTAACCACTGTAACCTCTTTCACCCGTTGCCCCTACAAGACTTCGTAGAAACCCTTAAGCCTACAGCCACTATACTATGCCCCTTAGTCCTATACAACGTATGCCTTAAGACCCTGTGATCAAGGCCCTTAACCTTGGAGCAAGCCCTTGAACCCCAGACCCAATGCTAAACCCTTAACCCTATACAGTAACTTGCTTATGATCTTAGCCCCTATACTATGTAAAACCTGCAGTGGCCCCTGACCCTAGACCTCATAGTGGCCTTTATAGTAACTAGAAACTCCTAGCCCAACCTCTCCCTTCTTGCCACCACCCTGAGACATGCCGGAGGCCTTGACCCCCAATCTTCAGCCCTCAAAGCCCTCTCGGCAGCTATAGGCTATAAGCCCCTGAACCCTAAACCCTAAACCCTGAACCCTAAACCCTAAACCCTGAACCCTAAACCCTAAACCCTGATAAGCCCCGAACGACCTCCTGGGCTTCCCCTTCTGGATCACCCTCGGGGCCTGGCCCAACCCTCTAAGGTTTGGGGCTTGAGGTTTAGGGGTTAGGGTTTAAAGGTTTAGGGTTTTGGGGTTTAGGGATCAGGGTGTAGGCATTAGGGATTGGGGTTTAGGGATTAGGGTTGAGGGATTAGGGTTTAGGGTTTAGGGGTTAGGGTTTAGGGTTGAGGTTTTGATGAATTTTTGAGGCTTCGAGATGTAGGCCTTTAGGGTGTTCAGGGTTGTTGGTGCTTTCAGGGTGTGCAGGAGTTTGGGGTTTTGCAGGGTGTATGCTGATTTATAAGTGCTATACGAAGCTTGTGTGGAGGCTTCTGTCGAAGGCGTTCTACAGGGTTCCATCAGCACTTCCATCATTTCACATGGATGCCACAGTTTTGCATGAGCTTCCGATATGGGAGTTTCCGCAAATAAGGGACCCTCATATAGTACTGTAAATAGTAGGACCTTTATTATAAGGACCCCAAAATCGGGTACCCCTGACTTTCGGAAACTCCATGTGACTTTGGGCCTTGGGGTTTCAACGTCTTCGATGCTTGGAGTTGAGGCTAAGGGAAGTTTAGGGTATGGGGTTTAGGGTTGAGGGTCCAGGGTCTAGAGTTTTTTTTCCATCCTACCTAGCAAGGACGAAGCCCGCATTGCAGGGTGTCTCGGTTGAACAGCTGACTACACCCGTTTGTTTTGGTGTTCAAAACTCGGCTAATTTAGTACTCAACTCCACGACCAGAAAGACTTGCTGTTCCCGTCATCGAGTAAAAGGACCGACCATTCTACTAAGTAGAAGAGTCGGGAGTTAGGCAGCCCTGTATGGCAGCCCTGGGTTGCTTTGCAGGCACTGAGGCTCGCAGATTTCAGCAAAATGCCGCTCACTCCCTAGCCTCATCATGGCTCTCTGCACTCCAGTCTGTGGCCCTGTTGACTTGCCACTCGTGCACTCAAGTAGTAGCTCGACTCAGTGACTCACCTGTCATTCCCATCGTCGCCAGCAAAAATGTAGGTATACATGGGCTGTTGCACTCAATTAAGGTCTTGCATCCAATTGTAGTCACCCTTTGACGGGCTTGGCATGCAGTTGCACTCAATTAAAACGCATAGTAGCGACCCCACAGCTTCAGTGTTACACATTGATGCAGCGGTGTTCGCACTCGGATTTCGGTGTTAAGGCGCTAAGGCCATGAATACACCCACAGCCAGACCTCAGTGGATACATTCACAGACAAAGCAGCCTCTGCGGGCTGGCTCTGGTTGCGCAGCAATGCGGTTTGTTGGCTTTTGTCTCATATAGGCCAGAGTAAAAGCAGGACATATGCAAGACTGTCATCCAGAAGTTCGTGTATGCTTCCAGACAAAGTATGCAGCAGCAGACCGGAGCCATGACATAGCAGAGCACCCATCGCTGAAGCAGCCATGTATGCGCGGCATTCAGAAAGGCCAGAAAGGCACGGACCTCAGGAAATCCAGATGTTTGCAGTCCATAGGTAGCCTCCAGGAGTCGTGGCAGCTCCAGCAGGACAGAAGGCCAAAGCAGGGAAAAGCCATGGCCGTGCACAGGAAGTGCGGTTTTCCTCCAAAGTAAGGAAGCCCCGAACCCTCAAGAAGACGGAAAACAAATGAGAGCCCCAACAGAATGGTCCATGGAACGGGTTAGTTCATAGGGCCCTGAAAGCAGAGCAAAGCACGGATAGAGGCAGGTGCAAGGTGACGACGAGTGGATGTGCAGTGCAGCAGGTGTTCCAATCAGGCGCGTGTGCTGTGTGCGGACGGTCGTTTTTATGGTTTTTTTGTGGGTTTCCACGAGGTGAAGGGCACCACGACGCACGAACGGAAAGCCTGTTTGCAACAATAGCCAGCGCACTCTTCACTCATGCTCTCTCGCGCACCTCTTACTTTCTGGCTCAACTGGACTGGGCACTGAAACACTTGCAATCGAATTAGAGGCCAGACAGATCCGAATTGATCGAAGTATCCGAAGTCTCCGAAATGAATTCCAAATCCATTCGAAGCCCGCAGAGCTGGGACAGCTGGTCCCTCGTTGTTGTTATTATCATTGCGTTCCTATGATGACGTGGACTCCTGGGCAGTGCAGAATGAAAACGGAGGACACCTTTTCTGTACTCTTGATGGTCTTAATCTTCTTGGTTGGGGCCTGTGTCTCCTGGTCTTGCTCGTCATCCGTCTCATCATCATCATCATCATCAGGAGGTGGCGCTCCTTCGTCTCCATCGTCAGCATCTGGATCAAGCTTTGCTCCAGCTTTTGCCTTGGCTTTCTTTGGGGCTGCTTCACTAGCCTGTGCTTCTGGGGCTACTCCTGGGGACGCAGTGGCTGTTGCCAATCCTTCATCAGGCTTGGGCAGGAGCCCAGATTCCCATTCCTCAACCATTTTCTTGACTGACTTCATCTTCTCCATGTTGAGTGGGAATGCATTGTCCTTGCTAATGTCGTAAGTCTCAGGTCCTCGTCTTCCAGCAACACCAGCGCCAGAATCTCCTGCATCTGACGGGCGATTTGGGCCAGGCTCATGTCCAGCCTCTTCCTCAGCCACATCTGTAATTGAGTGACCAAACATTTCAGCGATGCCGGAAAAGATGTCTCGATTGACTCTAAGGACTTTTATCTTGTAGTGCCTTGAGATGACCACTGAGGTCTTCTTGAGGAACTGCATGATTGGCTTGGGCACTCGTTGGAAGGTAAGGACCCCGTTGGAGTCCAAGACAGAAGGAGAGTCTTTCGTCCTTTGCACAACCGAAGAAGCTAGGTTTGCCCCGAAAGCTTTGTCAATTGCGGCCACTGCGACGGACGCAAGAAGCCCGACTACGAACCCCCATTGGCTGCTGTGTGAGCGGCCAGTCCCAGGATACATCGAGTTGGCCAGGCCCACAAAGCCAAAAGCAAGAACTGTGGTGGCAGTTTTGCTTTGCTCTTGCTGGATGAGGCGGTTTTTGGACGCCCCGACTCCGATGCTCATATCTAGTTCAGCGTTCAAACTCAACCTCTGGGACTGCGTCATAGACAAAGATTGCAGGGAAGACGTAACAGTGCCTGAGCTCGCTTGCATGATGAGGCCAATTTCTGGACTCACCGCAGCCACGCCGTTGAAGGACCCAGCAAGCGACAGTTTGTCGAAGACTGCGCGGCTCAATTCCACAGATGGGGCCAGGTTCATGGTCGCTCTTGTCATAAATGAGGTTGAGATAACCCCTGGCCTCCCTGATCTTGTTATGGCTGCACAACAGAAGAGCAATGCAAATGATGTAGCAATTGTTCCTGTTGTCATGAGCGGATTTTTGCCCCCGTTGGCAGAGCACCAAGAGATGACCCAAGCTCATGAAAAGACTGATGAAGTTGGGGCAAGTTCTCCTTTTCGGCCATCAACTCACCACCTCCAGTCCACTCACAAACCGATTCTGTGAAGCAGGCCCGGGAAGTTCCAAGACTCTTGTAAGTCGAAGGACGGTTGCCACCCCTGTTCCCAGCTCTCATGAGTCCAGTACCAGTCAGCACATGCTCAAACGTGATTGCAGTCAATGCCGCAGCAATCCCAACTTTGATCGTGTAGTTAGGTTCACTGAAAATGAAGTCAATGTTGTTTGAACCCGTGATGAAGGGCATGATGAAGGGGATCGTTTTGCTGATGACCTTGGGTCTAACGCAGCTTTCACGGGGGCTCCCACAAACAAAAATGCTATCTGGAGCAAAGGAGCTCTCTTGATCATTCGCAGCGCCCGCGCAACCTCTCGGCCTGCCACTCTCAGACAGATGTTGACGATTGCCATTGACAGAGCCAAGGAGACGCCACCAGCGATGCGGCCCCTACGCAACTCAATGGTGGGTTCGCCAAAAATGTAGAGAGCTCCTGAAGCCAAGAACCAGGAGAGGAAGATCGCAGGTAAGACAGCCTTCGGGACAACAAGACAGAGCATTGTTGCGATGGAAAAGAGAAGGATGGCAACTGGCACCAAGGTTATCCACACCTCATCAAAGAAGGTGGACGCAAAGTAGGACCAGAAGGCAATCCCAGTCGCGTTGGCTGCCAGGACGAGCAAGACAGCAACATACTCATCTGTCGGATCAGACCTTGCTTTGGGAGGAATGCTGGCCGCGAGACCTGCCTGCGCAGACACCCTGATCCTTGGGCCTTGTGTTGTGGTGTCAGAGCGAGCATCCTGACTGCTAGTGTCTGACGCACTCCCGGATAGGTCGGCCATCATTCAAAAGTCAAAAGTCAATGTTCAAATTGGTTGAAGTGCAAATGCGCTTGAGCCTGTAGCCATTTTAGGGTTTAGGGTTTGGGCTTAGGGCTTTGGGTTTAGGGTTGTGAGTCCGACAGTGCCGGCGCAAATGTGCAGGGGGCTAGAGGCTCCTCGATTTTTTAAGCAGTTCATAGTCTCCCAGCCGTATCTTCATGCTTGAAGACAGATTTTAGTGACCTTAGCCCCTGAACCGCTCTAAACCGCAACACCCTGCAGCCCAGGAGTTAGGGCCACATCTGATCGGATAAGGTTCCAGAAAGGGGATTATATAGGGATTATACTACCCAAAAATGGTTAAAGGTTGCCTACTCTACTACTAGGAAACCTCCACGCCAGATTCATGGTTCGTTGACTTCCGGCCACAATTCCTCCCAGACCCAGGGTGCATGGCTTCTCGCGCCCCCCCCCCCCCCCCCCGGCCTGGCTCCTGAGGAGGATCCTCCATCTCATCCATCCTTCCGGGATCCCAGAGACTCCAAAACCCCCTCAATTTAAGGAATATCCCTTAAATGATAATCTATGATAATATCGGAACCCCAATATGATTCAACGAACGCTTATATGCTTGAAGACACGTTCCTTGATTAAGGGGTGATAGAGTCTCTGGGATGCTTTGTCTAGACCTTAAGAGTACAAAAGCTTCTGGGCTTTTCTGCTTCGTAACTTCTAGGGCTTAGGGTTTAGGGTGCTAGACTTGAGGGTTTAGCCATTTGCAGTCTTGGGTTGGAGGTCTAGGCGGTCCGGGGTTGTATGATGGTCTTGGGTTTAGGACTGTGGGTCTTTGGGTTTACGATTTGCAGGGACTTGAAGTTGCACGGTGCAGCCGTCTGGAAGCTTCTGGTGGGTCCGCTTGGACGGTTTCGACTCGTTTCGACTCTTGGGATGAGTTTAAGGGGCTTTCAGTTCGCAGTCGCAGGGGTGTAAAGCACATGGTGGCGACATGATGAAGGCATCAGGGCAACAGTGGTAAACAACACCCTACCCAGCAACCCGTAACCCAAGCCTTGCTGCGTCAAGGCTGGCAGATAGAATCCTGATGAAGGAAGTAGCCCGTGCACCCATCCCTCCATCATCCCACTCAACCCGCCCGCCCCCCCTTTTCGTGCCCGGCCCACGACGGCACCCTTAGGCCTTGAGGTTTCTCCGTACATGTTTCTACACTGCATGCACATATGCGCAAGTGTAGTGGTATGTGTATATGCCTGTGTAGGTACACTGTGCATGCTTACACATGTGCAAAGGCACCTGCCGAGTGTAGTGTACACGCTTAAACTAGTAGTCGTAGTAGTCGTAGTCGTTGTAGTAGTAGTAGTAGTAGTAGTAGTAGTAGTAGTAGTAGTAGTAAGTAGTAAGTAGTAGTAATAGGAGGAGGAGGAGGAGCCTCTGAGCCCCATCTAAGGTCTCCTATCGCGGCTTCTATGAAGGATTACTTGAAGGCTTCTAGGGTTTAGGGTTTAGGGTTTAGGGTTTAGGGTTTAGGGTTTAGGGTTTAGGGTTTAGGGGCCTTAGTAGTTCGTAGAGGTTGATCTCCTACATCTTGTTCGTACTGCAGACTCTGCTGATTCTGCAGCAGAACAGGTTTTTGGGGCATGTTATAGCTAGAGCTACGATACGGAACCAAGCGGTTGTCACCACAGATTTTGCGTTCTGCTCCAATGCTTGTGGAAGCTCGAGCTTAGTGGAACAGTCCAGCAGTGAAACTGAGACGAACATTGGCATCCGGCTCTCAATCTTGAGGTTTTGCCATTCACTTACCACTTAGAACTGGCCCGAACCTTCAACTGAAAAAGAGGTATATTCCTAGTACACCCTGAACTTGCAAAAAAAACCGAGACTTCCTAATCCTTCATGCCCAGCCTCCTTGGGACCGCTGATGGGATTTTTGCAAAGAGTTCGTTTCATTCATTATGCTCACCAGCTCGGATGCCAATACGATGTGCTAATCTGTAGGTGCACCTCTCCTTTGTGTGCTGAAACTGCATAGGCGGCAGCTGAAACACAGGCGATTGTCGTGTGCATGTTGGGTGTCAATCGCTGGTTGTAGGCTGATAGCAGGACGAGGACAGTAGTGGCTATCTCGGTGATGATTCAATGATGGTCATACCGACGGCGTTGCCAAGGTGATGTGATGATCAAGGCCGGACGTGAGTTGTTGCAGGAATGCTTCTTTGACAAGCGAAGGCTTCGCAGCCCTCTGCCAATCTGCCTGATCTGGGATTGACCTCCTACGACCACGATCCAGCAGAACATGAGGTATCTTCGAGCGGTGGGACGCTCGGATTTGGACACACGGGCTGCGTTTTCTATTTGGGACGCAGTTTCACGTGATGAGCCGCTTAAACAAAAACGTGCCTGTTGACAAACTTCAGTCGTGATTTCAGTCTTCTACCCCAACGCGAGAGAACCGCTATTCAAACACGTGTTCATGCATGTTGGTCCAGCGATACTGAACGAACACAGTGGTGGTACATGGTGGTACATCTCGCCACTCAACAGCCATCGCAATGGCCACCACCAACACCTACTGCAATCACGACCGGAGCCGTCGGTGTCACCACCTTCTTATGGACCACTTCCTGTATGGAAACTGCAGTAACTACAATGCCAACAATGCTGGTCGTGGTTTCTCCCGGCGAAAACGTTCGACGCCCGGATGCTCCGTTCGGAATGGTCCCGGGCCTGGCAGAGGCATCTGAGGCCGGGCTGTCGAATTTCGGGGCCTGTACCTTATATTATAACCGGAACGAGGAATCCCAGAAAAGTATGGGAAACAACCTACATAAAGTTCGTCAGGCCTGGGTGTCTCAGCTCGAGTGCTAAATTCCAAAGCCCAGCCAGTGCCCTGAATAGTAGTGAAGGGGGGAGCTGTTGGGTCCCTACTTGTGGAGGTTCATGGGTAGTTATAAGTAGGGTTACAAGTAGGATAACTAGACTTATAACCCATCTTAGGGTACTTATCACCCCACCTATAACTACCCATGAACCTCAGAGTATGTCGATGTTCAAGCCCCTTCGGCTCGGAACGTAAACCGCGAGAGAGTTCCGGGTTTCTTTGGCCTCTTAGACTGGGGTCCTCGCCGGACTCCTGCTGCTTCAAAAAACTGTGGCTACATGATTGTTGCTGCTGTTATTATTATCAAAATTATGCCTATGAACTCTGCCTGGTAGTATTTTTTACTAGTATTGTTCTTTTCTGGTCATTCTTATTACTATTACTACAAGCATTGCTAGTTAGTAGTAGGAGTAGTAGTAGTAGTAGTAGTAGTAGTATTGCTGTTTTTCGGCTCGAGTAAACCCCGTATCTCTGGATGTCGCATTGGGCTGCGTTCACCTCACCCAACCCTCCAAACATCACCCTCAGCTGGACCGCATTCGGACTCCGAGCCATCAGCACCTTAGAGTCTTAAAGCCGCGGGACCACAACATGAGGCAATGTAGCGTGACAACATACCTAGCTGCATGAGACAGTGGTTTGACAATGAAAATGGTGTGTGTGCATGCAAAATACATATTCTGCCCACGCAAGTACGCATGCATTCGTGGATGTGTATGCGTGTATGTATTTGTGTATGCCTATATGTACGTATGCATATGTATATGATATGTGTATGTGTATGTGTGTATATATATATATATATATATATTATATAGACACATAATATACAAACACAGACTTGTAAGGTTGCGCACAGACCCTGAATACATCACCCCGTCCCCAGAGCTCACGTCGAAGGCCTCGAACCGGAAAGCTCCTGGGCTTGGGATTTCGGGTTCAGGGGTTTAGGGTCTAGGGGAATTTTTTTTAAGGAGAGTTTAGGGTTTAGGGTTTCGTGGGACTACTTCGTAGCTTGAGGTTGGGGTTTGGGATGTTTGGGGCTTAGGGTTTGGGGGTTTCGGGTCTGGGTCCTCGCGGCTTGGGCCGCTGTGGTGCTTAGGGTTTAGGGGCTTTGAGTTTGGTGTTTGGTATCGGACGGGATAGCCATCATATAACCAGGGGTTACAGCTAAGGTTTTGAAATGTTTGCGGGTAGAAGAAATAGACTCCACGTCCCGAAGGGTTTTAAAAGGGGTTTAGGGCCGTTTAGCGCTTCCTGAATGAGCCAGAGTATAGCCACGGAAATCAGTTAGAGAAGGAGCTTGGGGGTCACTAACAGTCACCAGCAACGACAACAAGAACCAACAACCAACACCAACGCCAACGTCAACGCCGTCATCACCACCACCACCACCAGCACCACCACCACTAGCAAGCACACAAGCAAGCAAGAGAACAAACAAGCAACAGCAGCAGCAGCAACAACAACAACAAACATCACAACCAAAACCACAAACACAACCACGACCACAACACCAGCAACAGCAACAACCACAACAACAACAAAGTGTTTGACAAAAAATCATCGTCACCATGAAGGGGGGTCGTAATAATTCTTTTTAGAGTATGGTTTACCATGGAAGGTCAAGTTTACAGGAAGGCAAGAGATACTGTGCTGCTTATTGCTAAACTGCTAAGCCCTCTAAACACCGCTAAACACCCGCTTAAGACTATGTATAGATACCGACAAAGCCCTTTTCATCATGCTTACTATTCAAACCTCCCTGTTAACTCGTCCCTGCCAGAGCTCAGTTCCGCCGCGAGCGCGGCGAGTTGCCAATGCCCTGCTCGAGCCTGAGGCAATGACCGGTTCAAGCTTGGACTTTGTTGTTGCCTCATTGGATTTATCGGTTTACGGATTGGTTTAAAGCTTTTCCGGGTGTTATTGAGCTTATCGGGTCAAAGTGGCTGTGTTGGCTTGTTCAGGCTCCACAAGCTTTAGCGTTTCAGCTTCAAGTTGACAGGTTTAGGGTGCAAGGCTTGGCCACTGGAGTTCAGGGTCCAAGGGCTCATGGGCTTTGGCTGGTTTGGGGCTTAGTCTTCTGGTGTTCGGAGTTCACGATCCTCTGGTTTGAGCATGGCCACGGCTGCACAGACGAGTCTGAAGAGTTGGGTGAACTAGCCCTCTAGTTGTTCTCTCTCTCTCTCTCTCTCTGCCGTTGCATCCAGAGGGTCTAGCAGCGCCAGGCAACGCATGAGGCTAAAGCCCTGTAGTTGCTGAAGTCGTTATATGAAAACCTGAACCCTGCAGACGCCCTTACGGAAACCCTTGAAATCAGGAACCTATTGTGTTTCCCTCGAAAGGTAGATCTCAGGCAGTTAGGGCTTGGGGACTTCCGAGTGTCGGTTTGGCAGGGTCGGTGCCTACAATAGGTCAGAGATCCTCTCTCGCCTCTGGCCTTTCAAAGCGTCTGAGCAATGTTCAGAACAGTTCGTAACCAAGCCCCTCTTAAGCTCAATAAGAGAAAGTGTAAAAATGTCCTAAAGGCCTACCTAGCTGGTTTCTAGGGCCTTAGGAGGCTTAAGGTCTGGGTTCAGAGTGTTGCTAGAGGCCCATGAGAGGGTAAGAAGAAAAGATCGA